TATACAGCTTGCATCAATAGAATTAGGCTAAGCGTCAATGTGTGGTTGTGTTTCGGTGTTTGTGTCTAACAACTTGAAAGCTGGTTTCCGATCGATGATGAGTAACATGTATGTGTTTATGTGTAAGTACTAGTATTAGAACCTTCACTTTGTGGCCCAAAAGCAGGTTTACCAATAATTTGACCACATACAGCACACCACAACCACAACCACCAAAATAATGTACCCCAGACGGGACTCGAACCCGCAATCTTCAACTTAGGAGGCTGACGCCTTATCCATTAGGCCACTGGGGCTCACATAACGCGGCAGTGTGGTCTGTGATTGGTGTGAATTACGTAATGCTGCAATGTGTTATCATTCTCCTAACATAATACAGTCATAAACCATAAGTTTCTTTTTCCCCATAGATGCTTGCAGGACGAACCCCGTCAGTACATTGGAAAGGGTCCCTCATGTGTTTTTGAAAACCAAAACGTGAACTTAAGGCCCCTTCCATGAGGATGCTTTGTCGCAAACTTTCTGACATTATGCGTCTGCACTCAGAAGTTTGCACTGTGCATAATTATCACTTGCAAGCCTACTCATACAAATATGTAGCGAGATTCCCCTCAAGTTTTACTTTACTTCACTCAAAAGAGAGTGAAGTACTGACTTTGTGGCTTCTCTCTCTCTCTTTCTCTCTCTCTCTCTCTCTCAATGAAACAAGCACTGTTGCATATACATATGCATTGTTATATAATACCTACTTCATACATATACACTAGTAATATCACTTTATCACGATAAGCAAGTAGGCGTAATAGCAAAACGCGCCAAAATATATTCAACAATTCAGTACATTACAAACTTGTCAAATACACTATTCGGTTGCCCAGACCAGCTTCAGTGACATTTTATTCGTAGTTCAGATTATAAACAGGGTAGAAAAACAGTCAGAATCGTAAAATGATAAATGGAGATCTATCCAAGGCCACCAACCAGTTAAGTGAACAAGCCGCAATTCGGATTGAGTAATGTTTTAAACATCAATGCAATCAAATCCGTCTAGTAAAGAGATGAAAGTGATGCGGTAGGCTCTTAGAAACGGCTCATTTTGAATCAAAGCGCTTCTGCCATAATGAAGCTTTCACAGTGTACGTTCTTTTGTTCTACTGCTAACAAGTCTATCAAGAGCCAGTTGTCTATAAAAACAACAACATGCGTATAAGCATTGGCCACCAAGGACGTTACATGTGTCCTTGGTATTATGCGTAGAATCCAGGACATTATATATGTCCTTGGTATTAGCAAGAAGGTTTATCTGGGTTGGCTTAGAAGTAGCAAGACATAATGCCCTTGCTACGTAACCAGACGTGATCGAACAGAAAGTTATATCTTAATGTTTTTTTTAAACGAATAAAAGTTTCAATGTGCGATAATTAATGCACTGAAATGTTCTTTTTTTACTTTTTAAAGATGAGTTTACGAAGAGCGCACGCCGGTACAAAGTACTGTACCTGCGCAAATTTCATCGATTTAAAGTTATGGTGTGGCATCATCAACATGGCGATATGGTCTTAGTGTTCGATCCCCAGACATGCCCGATATATGTTGTGCTCTTGCACTGGGAAAGTAATATTTACACCACTTTCCCAAACTATACATTGGAGTGACGCCCACCGGGCCTTTCGGCTAATCGTTGATACTGTGTCCAAACACTGATGAGGACACAAACGGATTTGGTGTCACCAATGTGCCACGATCTGCACATTTGCCACTAAGAACCGTACGATTATTCTAAACGCTGTGTTCATCAGTTTTTCTTATCCATTTTTTACAGTCCCGTATTGGATTCCGTAAATTGGTCTGGCACATGTTTGCCCGATGTCACGTGGACGTAACGACGCTCTCGTGGGTGTTTATTCTGTGATTAGGCAACGGCAAATAAATGTTAGGGATGAGACACCTTGTGAAGTTTATAAATCTAATTCGAGAGCCCGAAAAAACAACAAGATTGAAAAAAATCCAAAATAGAGGTCACATACGTTTTAATAAATGTGAGTTGAAGCGACAACTTCAAGACATGGTATCACAGCCAACAAGTCTTTTATTCCTCGGTATTCAAGAAATATTCAAGAAGTGCAGAAAAAATATATATACTGCACTCAAGGCCACCACACTGGTGGTGGTAGCACTTCTACAACGTGTACAACAGAACTATAGCTACAACTGCACTCATGGCTACATGTCACTAGTGTCATTCCTACCGCTACACTCAAGGCCACCTCACTAGTGTCACTTCTACACTCAATGCTATCACGTGACGCAACTTCAATTTTCAGCAAGGACATTTTTTTTCCCGGAAATCATGCAAAGATCACCCGTAAAGCTTATTTGATTCGGCCTTATTTGTCTGCATCTATATATTGGGCGAGTTACACAACCATATATGGTATCGATTTTGTGACATCATAGGATAGCAATAAATAAATCAACGCGCACTGGCAGAACCATTTCGCAGTTTTCTCTCGGCTGTCAACACGAGGGAAAACTAGCCCGAGAGTCACCGAAATATTTAAGACTAACGATGCTTGCTGTCAACGCTGGAGCGAACTGATACGGTAAGTCTGTCATTTCTTGAGTAGAGGAAACACCTCGTATCCCTGTAGCCTCTACTAGACTTCAGAAGCTGCTAGAAAGAGCAGAAAATACTTTTAGTAGCCAGGTAGACAGATAACATGTCAGGGTAGTTGGTCCGCTACAAAAGTACAACTGTTTGCTACTCGACAGAGGCTAATATCATTGCGCTAGTTCTGTCTTCTATACGTATTTTAGTATATCCAAGGACTTGTCACCTGTGACACGTGACGTCGACACCCGAAAATCCTAAGAATATTATTTTCTGGTGTGTACCGGTTGAGGAATTGTTCCTGGCATAGTACTACTCTCCTGGGTCGGAGATCACTGTACCCTACATTATTTGCCTGGTCCATGTAGATGCGTCCTTCAACCTTGTGGCCTTGAGTAATACATGTGGTAGGGAGAGCAGCACTTTTCTAGCTGTGATTGTTAGATGAAAGCAGGGGTATCTACGAATACAGCTTTTGCTAGCTGTTGTTGCAATTGTACATGTATGTTGACTGTTGGGGTACCGTGATCGGCACGGGTTCGGCTGTAGATGTACGTATACCTGATTTTTTGTATCCCATTTATTTAGTTCTGAAAAGTGTTTTACTCATAAAAATATGCAGTTTTAAATGATTTAAATGATTCCGATATCGGAATGATTGTATTTCATTTCTGTAGCCGATTTTTTTTATGTACAACAAAATCATGTTCGTATGGTGAAGTAAGAGATTATCCCATAATCCCCATTATGCCATTAATTCGATCACCAAAAGGAGATTCATATGCTTTGAGAGCCTGCCTGATTTTCTATAAGATGGTGACATTCCCGGATGTTCTTCCGTTTTGGGATATATGGTCGTGGGTCGTGTGACGTAGCGGTAGCGCGTTCGGCTCAGGACCAAGAGGTTCCGGGTTCAAATCCTACCACCCATGTCACCGATCTTGTGCCCTTGGGAAATTAAGGCACTTTACACGACTTTCCTCACTTCACTCAGGTGGAAATGGTTTACCGGTTATACGAAACAAAATATGTTCCACCCATGTCGGCCCTCCTAAATTCACAGTTAAGCGTTTCCCCAAGCAATGTAGAACCTCTTGTTTTCGTGTCTACTGCAGTACTGATGGAGAGCGACGCAAAGAAGGCGATGATGGTGTTGGGCGCTGGGCTAGTCCGCCCGGCACCCAGCCCGCCGCCGCCTCGCAACCTGGAGACGGGGGAAGGCGAGGCGGCGCCCGGGTCTGGGCCGCAGGACGAGTCCTCCGATAGCCCCGACCAAGGACCGCCTCACCCCGGCACACCACAGGCTACCAACCGCCGCGGAGATGGAGGGGCCAAGACACCTCGCGTAGGTTTCAAAGGTACGTCTGGGTACATGTACAATAGTCTCCACCAAATCACCATTGCTCAAGTAAGAGAAAATTAATGCATTGTAAGTAGTCATTCTTTTATTCATGTTGTATAGCAGTGTAATGCTGTCGCCTTAAGATAATTGTGTAGTATGGGTAACGTTATGTGTTTTGGAATCCAGGAAAATTAGTTGCTTTTGCAGTCGCTTTTGCAACTAATGGATATCCTAATAAAGTATCTAGTATCAAAATATCCCCTGCAGACGGATTGGTTCAACTTACTACCTCAAAAGAAAAGCCAGATAATTTTGCCGCCCTGAAATTGCATTGCATACCGGTACCTTTAAAGCGATATCATGTAAGGTTTTTGCACCAAAACTGTAAATACGAATAATTTAAATTTTCTAATCTAGATTGTCATTTTCAATAACTTCAACATATATATCAGCGTCTTTCGCTTTTCCGGCGACTCAGCGCAGCGCGAGAATAAGTTGCACCAGGCCCGCTGTAAGAGGCTCCTAAAAAGAATGTTAACAAACGGCGGTTTTCGTTTGGGTATGTTGGGCAGTTTCCCAACACGTTTTTTGCGGCGCAAAGACGCAAGCACATGCATGTTCAGTGAAACAACGATGTTTGAAATATCAAAAATCTTACATAGCTTTAAGCTATTAGTGAATGGTTTTCTAATTGTTACATCTCAGACCGTGTCCGGGAAGTGTGGAGGAAGTTGAAGTCAGACGCGTGTCGGGTCCTGCTGGGCAGCGTGCTCCTGCTGGTAGCGGCGGCTGTCATCACTGTGGGCGTGTCACTGGCTCTTGAGGTACGCAGAATCTTAAAACAGATATTTTGCTATTAATCTACAGGCAGATTCCGTGGGGCAAGGGGAGTCTATAGTAGGATCTATTGGCCTCCTGTAATCATTGGCCGACCAATAGGCGGCCAATTAACAGACTCCTCTTGCCCCACGCACGGAATTTGCCTGGAGATTCATCTTTTGGGTGGCTGAAAAGACAGCATCCAATTTTTGAGACAGTTACCATTTGTCATCCAAAAGATCTGCTTGGAGCCTGCTGAGCAGGCCTCCGAGCGGGCGTGGGTTTTAAAATTTTGATACTGGGTTTTGTAGAATTGTTTATGCGTTGTTTTGCCGGCCATCGTAGGTCAAACCAGCTTGGTTGTACTTCTTCTTCTTCTTCTTCTTGCGTACTCTCTAACCACCCCTACTGGGGTATCACTGAGAGGGGGGGGGGTGCGACGGACTATGGCTGCGCGGCCAGAAGCCCGGCCTTGAAGGCCTCCACTGTCTGGGCTTTTACAAGCTGGCCCGGTAACTTGTTCCACTCATTTATCGTTCTTGGAAAAAAAGAAAATCTAAAACAGTCTGTTTTGGCAGGTATTGCTTGATACTTATATTCATGACTTCCTCTGGTACGCCTATGGGCAGGTTTGAGGTATTGTTCCATTTGAATATTAATATGTCCATGAGCAATTTTATATAAAGATATCAAGCGAGCGGTTCTCCTTCTGTCAACAAGTAACGGCCACTGGAGGCGCTTTAGCATGTCAGAAACACTGCTGGTATAGTCATAATCACTAACAGCCATTCGCGCCGCCCTTCGTTGGACTCGCTCCAACGCCTGGGAACCACCGATGGTGATGTACGATGGCCGGTTGGTTATACGATGGCCGAATGGTTGTACGATTGCCGTTTGGTTGTACGATGGCCGGTAAAAGATCAGAACGCATTTCATAAAGCGCAGTATTTAAATGCGAACAATAATGCGAACCAGCTCGCGCAACGTTCTTTTCTTCACAACCATCATGGCTTTTCATCATGTTTAACAGGTGGTTGTGAACAAAGAACTTTGCTTTTCAAAAACCTGTTTTTCTTTTTTTGGCGTCCATGGGGACCGCCATGTTCGATTTTTCCTTTGGCCTCATGCAGGTTGAAGCTACATGTATTTCTAAATAATCGTAACTTATTCAATACAAATGATTAACGTTAGACTTAATGAAAGTGGCAAACATTATTGGGGAATTCTAAAATTGTGCACCTGTTTGTATATAGGAAACAAGTGCTTTAAAGCACAACAAAGACATAAGGATGTGGGAATGGTCTAAGAAAATCGTCACTCCTTGGGAGACAGCGTTCTACAAGAACAACTCGACCATTGCCCACCTGACACTGCCTCCATCAGGAACCAGGTTGGAATGGGCAGAACCAACCCTGAGTGCTCGTGCCAACAACGAAGCCGTAACGACACTCATCACACCAGTATGGACTCATGGCAACAATGTGACCACAGCGACTGTCGTCACACCTCTGTTAATCACAGGTGATTGATAAATGATTGTTATGCTCATTTCATATGTCAAATTCTACTTTTTAATCAACTGTTTCTAATTATGAACCCATTATGATTGTTTTGCTCATTTTATATTTTGAATTCTGTCTCAACAGTTTTTGTTCTAATAAAGTGGTTGAATCTGTTAAGAACTGTTGGGGTGTTATTATCCTTGACTCAGACATCAATGAGTGCACCAGCAAACCTTGCCAACATGGAACCTGTGTGAACCAAGATGGCGGATACAAGTGTACCTGCTCACCTGGATGGACTGGACAGAACTGTCAGCAAGGTTGGTTTCTTTACTTCTTATTTCATGAAGTTGAAAAGTTGTGGCGTATAGAATTTTTTTCAACTCTTTTTCATTGATTCAAAAAGATCATGAATCACTAACTGTGAGTGTTCTTTTCATTATGACACAGACATAAATGAGTGCACCAGAAACCCTTGCCAACATGGACGCTGTGTGAACAAAGCTGGTGGATACAAATGTACCTGCTCAGCTGGATGGACTGGACAGAACTGTCAGCAAGGTGAGTTCTTTTCATGTAGTCACCAATTTCAAGTTTAATTTGATTCCTGTGTCACTTTCTGTATAAGTTAACAGTTATTTTTATTTTTACACACTATCAGACATAAATGAGTGCACCAGAAACCCATGCCAACATGGAACCTGTGTGAACCAAGATGGCGGATACAAATGTACCTGCTCACCTGGATGGACTGGACAGAACTGTCAGCAAGGTGAGTTCTTTTCATGTAGTCACCAATTTTAGGTTCAATTATATTTCTGTCACTTTCTGTAGAAGTTAACAGTTATTTTTTTTATTTTGACACTGTCAGACATAAATGAGTGCACCAGAAACCCTTGCCAACATGGAACCTGTGTGAACCAAGATGGTGGATACAAATGTACCTGCTCACCTGGATGGACTGGACAGAACTGTCAGCAAGGTTAGTTTTTTTGGTTATTTTTTCCAAGAATTTCTCATGAAAACTTCTTTGTTAGGATTTATAGAAGCAGCCTATAATGTATTTGGAATGAAGTTGCTGTAATAATAGATATACCGGTAGTATGTTTCAATGTGAATATCGAAGTAATTCATGTGTTGCTTTCTGTTAGTTACAGTGCCTAATACTTAGACATAGATGAGTGCACCAGAATACCTTGCCAACGTGATCACTGTGTGAACAAACTTGGTGATTACCTTTGTATCTGCTCACCTGGATGAACTGGACAGAACTGTCAGCAAGGTGAGTTATTTGATTGTTGCATTAACATGTAACATTACATCTATCACACAGATATCAACGAGTGCACCAGCAAACCCTGCCAACATGGAACCTGTGTGAACCAAGATGGTGGCTACAAATGTACCTGCTCACCTGGATGGACTGGACAGAACTGTGACATAGGTGAAGTTTTCCTTTATTCCATTTCATGTAATAATTTCTCATGAAAACTTGGGGATTACAGTAGTTCCTAACAGTGGTAGTGACTTTTGATCAAACCGACTACAACATCACAATCATTTCTTTACCATACAGACCTGAATGAGTGTACCAAAAACCCTTGCCAACATGGAACCTGTGTGAACAAAGATGGTGGATACAAATGTACCTGCTCACCTGGATGGACTGGACAGAACTGTCAGCAAGGTGAGTTTTTCTTTGGTTACTTTTTCCAAGAATTTCTCTTGAAAACTTGTTTGGGGATCAATTTGTATCGTTAATGTTTAGTTCCTTTTGGTGACTTTTGATCGATCTGACTACACCTTAAAGGCATCCAATGCAGTTTCATGGCAGCAAAACTGGATTTTCAAGTCACTTCCTTGTATCATTTTTAATGTATTAAGTTATATAAAAAACCTATCCCATAGCATACAAATGTGTCTGTGAGGCAAAAATGTGATGCCACTCAGACAGAAAATGGTTGCTTGTTTTAACTATTGATGGGCAGTACTCAAAAAATAGACATGCCTCACATTGCTTGTTTTGGGGCTATTTCAAATGCTTCAAGCATGAAATGATGACAAAATGTGCTAACAAATGGCAGTAAATTTATCAGACAGAACATTTTATTTTCTTGTTTTGCTGCCCTAAAATTTGCATTGGATGGTTAAATTTAACACCATTTTTTCTTTACCATACAGACCTGAATGAGTGTACCAGGAACCCTTGCCAACATGGAACCTGTGTGAACCAAGATGGCGGATACAAATGTACCTGCTCACCTGGATGGACTGGACAGAACTGTCAGCAAGGTGAGTGCTTTGGTTCTTTGTATTTACTTTTCATCAACAATAACATGCTATTTTTGCTGAGTCGAGTATAAAGTGCCGGTCCCAAGGACACAACACTGGGGCCTGCTAGTGATTTGAAGCCAGACCTTCAGATTCTGAGTCAACAACCCTAACCACTTATGCTTCGGTCCCAATTGGAAAAAGGGGTCCTGTTGGGTAGTCCCTGGGCTTTTTTTGGCACTTTTGGACGTGACCCCGCGGGACACCCTGCGGCTACCAGGCTATTTTTGGGCCGTACGGGACCTGAGAAGAATTCTGACTTAAATTCTATCCGGGCCCCGCTGACAAAAAGACGCTGTGACCTCATCGTGAGAACACACCGGGACACATTTATTACATCACAGACCAGATGAACAGAATAAAGGTGTGTACTTCGTAAACCCGGGTAAAATGTGTGATGTCACAGATCAAATGAACACAACAAAAGCGTGAATTCTGCATTATGTATAGGTCAGTACAAGACATCGTCAGAGAATCTGACGGGGTACCTGCTGGGTGCCTGCCGGAGACCGACCAAAGAGGGTGACAAAATTTTTAATAAAATGCTACTGAAGGAAACTCTCAATTGTGACCACGACAGCCGATGCCCGCCCGACGCCAGAGCCCGGGTGGGACCGGCCGGGGCTACATCCCGACAGGCACCGGCGCAATTGGGACCGAAGCTTTACTCAGTCACTTACTCTGACTCACACACTCACTCAGTCACGCACTCACTCTCACATGAGCCAGTTTCTACAATTATAATAAGCTCCCTACAATCATCTTTCTTGAACTGTCCTTGAACCCCTTTGTTGCACACTGTTGTATGTTGGGACATTACGTCTTCCATGGTTTACAAAACAGAAGTCAAACCCTTCAGACATGGCTATAGTTTTAGTCAACTACTTTTCATCATGTAGATACTATTGTATAATAATATAATCTGTTTCAATACTGTTGTATGTTTATGATTTGCAATTAGCCTACGGGCACGAATTTGCAATAAAACTTCTATATGTTAACAGCCAAGCAATGCAAGAGTGGGTGGAGCGAATTCGAAAACCACTGCTACAGGTTGTATCCGGACAAAGTCACCTGGTCGAAGGCAAACTGGCAATGTAAGCAACACAACGCAAACCTTGCATCTATCAAAAACCGCGCAGAGAATGACTTCATCACCGATCTCATCAAAAATGGTGGGTGATGATGATAAAGAATGATTCTTGTACTCCTTGTTTTTATTGTCATTTCGAATGATGATGTTTTGCTCATCTGGTCTGAAATCCTCACAATATCAATCAATATACCTTATCTCTTATCACCTTAGATTTCTTTTTATATCTGCAAATTAAACTTATGTTGCTTTAGGGTTCTGTACTTGTAAAATTATATAGTCTTGTCATGTACATGTATATTTTGAATAATGGGAAGAATTATTCAACATCAGAAATAGTTTCATTTATAAATGGATGTTATGATTTTGTTTATTCCAGCCCCTTATGGGACTTTTGTACGGAAGCTTGTTTGGTTTGGAATGACACAAGGTGGGAGGTGGCAGTGGACAGATGGGTCGAGAGTTATCTACACAAACTGGGCTCCCGGGAAGCCAGACCAAACTTGGCTTACTTACTTTGGCATGGAAGAGAAATGTGGCTGCCTGTACTCGAAGGTAAGTTTGTTTTTTTTTCCTTCGAAGTCATCAATAGTGGAAAAACTATAATTACAGTCAAACCTGCCCAAGAAGGGTATCAGTTCACTGAGGTAAAGTGGTCTTCTTGAGCAGATCATTTAATGAATATGCCTTAAGAAATTGAATTATTTTGGGAAAGAGTCACTGTGGCCATTATGGCCAGGTGGCTGGTTGGGGCAGGTGTGAGCGGTTTGAATGTGTTTACAGATCCATGTTGAAGCATTAAGATCTGGGCTTCTTTGGTACTATAGATTGAGCCACCTAGAACAGTGAGAAAAATGAAACATATACCCTTGTAGTTGTAGTTGTACAGTAAATCTTAAAATGTTGGCCATGGTGATGTTTTTTTTTTAATTTTGCAGTTTTTGGGTGGTCTCTTTCTGCAAACTTGAGGTTAAGATACCTTGAATAGTTGTTTCATTGTTATTCTACTATGCTACAGAATTGCTTCAATAATATTGCAAACTTGGAAACACCATGAAAACCTTGATTGCACTTAGGCCACATCAATTTAATTTCTTGGTTAACAGATTTTTCTAGAAAAATAATGGAGCGGGCGAAAAAAAAACAAAAAAAACAGGCCAAGTCATCCTATTATTATGGCCGAAAATGGTATGATAGGAGCCATGAAGTCAACACACCAGGCTGGTTCAAAATTTAAACAATGAATTTTGAACAATGATACCACTGAATTGAAAGATTCAATAACTGTAACAACTATAGGAAGAAAAAGGAATGTTTTCAACTGTTCAGGGCAAAATATTGAGCATTTTGCAGTTGATTCAGAATTTTTTTTTTTTGCAAATCTGAAAAAAATGAAGCGGGCGAATCCATTAAAAAAGAAATTATATTGGTGTAGCCTTAGTTCTACAGAAAAAAAACATCATTAGAGTAATACATGACTTTAGTTATATAAATGCATTCACAGTATGTGATGTTTCAACAGACTGAGAAAAGCTGGTTGCTGCCATCAGGAGGGGAGAAAGGGCAGTGGAACAACATGAAGTGCATGGCCAACTATTCCTACATTTGTAAAGCTCCAAAATAGCCCATCCCCAGGGATGAAAAATTGTGCAACTTTATCTAAAACCATCAAAATCAATATGTAGGACATGGAGGTCCATTGTAATAAAATGTTTTGACTGTAAAAAACATGTAGTTCCAAGTATTTGTGCTCATAGAGGTAATACAAACTTTTTAAGGAAATCTAAGCCAGTTGCACAACCTGTAAAGTTGAATTGAAAGAGGCTCTGTAAAACAGGAGTAAATTAAAATGAAAGTAGACAATATAGAATGTATCATAGTCATGTAGTTGACACAGATTCCTGAATTCTCATTCTGAGTTGATCAAACTGATTTCATATCACAGAATCTTAAAAGTGCTGATATTACTTGAGAATACTATCCAAGTACACATTAGGTACATCATAGCACCTGCTATGTATACTTCAAAGTAAGTGGTTAATTATCATTCACTTACTACATTTACTTTGTAGTTTATAAATTATATAAATATAATGTTCTAACTTTCATTAGCATATAAGTGGTCAAATTTGTCATTTGCATGGCCTCAGTATTATGTATCCAACTCTATAATTTACATGTGTACAGTACTAGTATACAGCATGTAATTGTAGTGTTTAGACATGTACATGTGCATCATACTATTTGTTTTGAGACAAAAAGACAAGTCTGTTTGTTTCTTATAAGGCCATGTTGATTTGATTATATGGATGACATCCTCTGGGAACCCCAAAACTGATGCGAGCGTGCGAATAAAAAAAAAGTTTGGCCAAAAAAAAAAGTTGCCTTCATTATAAAATCTATGTGGTTTTGAAGGTTGAACAAATGACACAGAGTATGGTTTGGCGAATAATCTACTCTTCGAATTCATTTCTTTACATTTTTGTCTTTTTTCCTTTGATTTTGGCAGTCTACGACATTTGTATCGTTTCTAAATGTTTTCCTTGCAACATATGGTATATTTTTGCTCATTTAGCAACTGTTTTGCACGATTTACAGTATGGTTGAAAACTTTTTTTTTTTGGAAACGGCCGAAAATTCATGCGCGCGCGGATGTCATCCATATAATCAAATCAACATGGCCTAACATGGTGAGGTACATGTACATTGTAGATGCATGCCAAAATATTACCGTACCTTCACAACATGAACTATAAGGGAAAAAGAATCATCCACAAACCTAATCAAGGAAGACCATATGAAGGTCCCCTCAGCAGCCTTCTTGACAACCCAAACTGTGTCTAAGTCACATCAGACTCACGTACTAAAATATCTTAGAGACTTAGCAAGAGACAAACAACGATGGATTGAACTGTACACTGATTTGGTCTGTCGATTGTATTTAGATAGCCTGGGTGCCATCCTGGTTAGTTTACGTCCGCTCCTACAGTCGCTACCACCAACCAAACGGGTGCTACCTGGTTGGTGGTAGCGACTGTAGGAGCGGACGTAAACTAACCAGGATGGAACCCAGGCTAGTATTTAGAGTTAAGCTACTACTAATTTACAGCCAAGAACAGTTATATATAATTTCTATATCCACACTCTACTCTGTATCATACAAAGTGCTACTGATGGTTGGCATGTGATAACAGGAACTAAGCAATGGTAGAACAAGTGGACTCAAATGTTTGGTACCAAGAATCTTATTTCTTTGTTTGACTGAATTTATTTCTTAGTTTCATTTATGTACCCAAGGTATTGTTTTAATAAAGGCAACACGAAGTAGACAACTATGGTCCAGTTTCTGTTTGTAGTTTTTCTGTGTAAAGATACAGAACTGATGTGAATTGCTATATTACAACTCTATGTGGATGACATTAGCCGGTTCAATGGCCAAGTGAGTAGAGTGTTTGCCTTGCATTTGGTACAGTAGGTCATGAGTTCTATCCCTGGCCAAGTGAAGTCATACCTAAGTCTTCATGGTACATACTGCTTTTTCTCTACTTAGCACTCACCATTTGAGAAAGACTGATGGAAGCTTAACACACACCACTGCCAGTGGACCAGCCCCCTGCTGTAGTGATTGCACAACTGTGTGGCCCAAGGGCTATAGAAACAGAGATGGGCGCTGACTTCTTTGCACCATAGGTGCATGAAGAAGGTTTTCTGAACAAGGTAATTATTGAAGGGGTACTTACAGTAACTCATATTGCTCATCAGCCCCTCAGACTAGGCTATCTGGTATCCATTGTGGAAAATAAGAAAACATGAGACATGTCCAATAACAGTGGCATTTTTATTTCAGCTACACATATTTATGCTTTATATAACATCCAAAAATCAGGCTCACAACCTGTGCTTGAAGGCAATGGAGGAATACAGGTAGAAAAATAAAAATTCTCACATTTGTTTGGTTCTTCTTCTAAAGATCCTAGTTTTATAAGCTTTCACGCCAATCAGTCAACCACTCAGCCAAATAATTTAAGAGTTTCTCGCATTCACTCTCTCACTTCCTGAAAAGTTTATCATAGGGGCAGATCCTGCCCAAAATGCACATCATACCCATCCTCCAAGCACAGATTGCGCTAGCACCTTGCAATGTTTCTCACGTAATGTACACAAATCATGTATAAGATCCATCCAGTATTGCCTACACAACAGTTCAATGTACTATACAGTTATACAGTAAGCAAACAATGCTTCCACCCCAGAGGTGTCACCAAAAAATGTAGTACACTGTACCAAGATATACATGTGTGTAGTAGCCCTAGGTTTAACCTTCTCCCTGCAGCCTAACCACATAACCAATACAAATTTGGTGCCAAACAGCTGCCTTAGGAGCCTGGAGGTTAAGAGGCAGTCTTACCTTTAACCATACAAGATTACTACTTCTCAATGTGCAAATTTAAAGTGCCATAGGAAACAGTGGCCCTATGATTATGATGCAATGTTAGTGTTACTAGCAAGGTACAAAATGTACTTAAAACTGATGATCATACATGTATGCACTGGACACAGTATCCAGTTACAAAGCAATTATCAATAACTTCTAAGCCACTTTCAAAAAGCCTTAGTGATTAAACATGGTGTGTTTATTTCACTACATTACATGTACTGTCACAATTGAGGCATAGTACATTTAGAATACCACATTCATAACTTGACATGAATACAACATTGTACAACCTTAACATACTGTGCTTGAAGGGTATATAGAAAAATAAATAACCTCTCTTTTTGATATGTCACAGTTTTGGGGAAGACTTTCTTTCTTCTTGCACACAGCATTGCCAAATATAAGAATCTACAACAGTCCGATGGGCCCAGGCAATCCACCAGTTTTTAAAACAGAAATAATGGCTGTGCCTCATATAGTAATAGGCAGCATATCTTAATTAAACTTGAAGACCATTCTGATTATAGAATGGACTAGTAATATGCTTCACATATCTCAGAACTGTGCATCTATGTACTGTATGTGAAAGACAGATTATCCTTCAAATAAGGACTGGTATTGCCACAAATGAACAAACAAGAAGACGTGAATATTTAAAACAGGCTAGGTGAAGAACAAAAGATGAGCATTACTATGCTTGATTATGAAAACAAAGAGTTTGGAAACTTCTACTGCATCTGGAAACTTGTACTGACTGAAACAAACCAGTTTGAAAGCTGACCGACACACAAAAGTCCAACATATATGCTCCACAGATACATCAGCATACTTTTAACTGCAACAAAGCATTGTCTTTAGTTTCCACGTGGGCAAAGTAGCAGCATTTCATCACACAACACATTCACTCATACTATGGAGTGGTGAAGAGAAATTCCCTAGAAGTTTGCGTTTCACCAACTGAACATTTAACTTTTCTTGCTGTCTGTGCAAAAATGAATGCATGTACAGTATTTTACATGTAAATGAACCTGTAACAGACAACCCCAGTTCTGTAGCAAAGTTCTTTATTCACAACTACTTGTTTAACAAGAGCTGGCGCTTTGATCATGGCAATTATGACTGGTTCACTGTGCACTGTGCACCTAGCTTCAGTGTCATACATGTTGTAATTACCCTGATGAAGATGACAGACAGTCGTCAAAATGTCGGCTCTTGTTAAACAAGTGGTTGTGAATAAAGAACTTTGCTATTCAGTCATTCACCAACCTGATGAAACTATTCACAGACTCTAGTTCAAGTCTACGACCCAAATTTCAACAACCCAGGCACTAAATGCTGGTGGATAGACCTGGCGCCATCAGACTGCAGTTCATACAGTCAGTCAAAAACATGCAGAATTTCATTCAAACTCACAAACTTGTCCGCACTCACACACTCTGTGGCAAGAAAATTTGCCCATTAAAGTATTAAGTATGTACATATCACCCTCCAAACACAGTTTGCTATATCTTAAATCTCCTTACATAAAACACTCACAAATTAATGTACAAGTCGTTATCTAATTAAACAGTGCTAATTAATCAACCATACATGTTAACTGTGTCAGCAACCAACCACAGGACTAACACTAACATTAGTCACCCTACTACACATGGGACAAACCAAACTAAAACCTAGACAGGGGTGCAGCCTCGAGTGGACCTTAAAAACAGGTTTGTCCTTACAATTTTTGATAATTCATCACATTTGTTCGTCTAGCATCATGTCCAGACATGAGCTGAATCATGTATCATAATATGACATCAAAGGCACTTTTTTCTTGCTATTCGGCCTCACCCTCTCTAGGTTCATGTTAACATGTTACATCTATGGTAGAACTACAAATGTACGTATCAAATATTGCGAAAGTTTACATGCCACAGACTGTTTACACCAATAGGTAGGGTAGGCAGGCTATGGGTTAGAACTTGGCAGTTCAATATACCTTGAACAAAATAATGTCTAAACAACAGGCCAATTCTGCATAATTTCAGAGGAGTTTGACTTTCCTTTCAAAATATAATCAAATTTCTGTATTCTCATTTTGTCCCATTCAACTCAAGATATCAAGAACATGTATGGCATGATACATCTCATGGCCTTTTCCTAAAATTATATGTTGTCTGTCTTATTGAAGTTATTCCACCAAATCCTCAAAGGCAAAATGAAAGAAAAAAAAGTCAATGCATTAAGTAACCCAGCAAATGTGATGTGGTCACCATCAAAATCCTGCGTTTCCCAGTTAACAATAGTTACTGTATTAATGAATACAATAGAAGCTAAACTGATGAGCTACTTGGGATATTTTGTAAGACTTCATAGAATTCTACCAGACCACAGATTCCTGAACTTAAAACCTTGTTTTCTTTCCTCAGAAATTTACTGATTGATCACGATTATCCTTTATCAGTAATTCAGTTTATGCAGCCTTAGACATACTGCAAACTATGGCAGAACCTTCCAAATTTGTGTTTAAATTCAATTTCCTATCACTCAACCATTGCTAGTAGAAGTCTAATGGTGTACAAATCGGCATTGCTGTCCCCTCTAAACACCATTCCCTATCTAGTGAGAGAAAGTGTTAATGTTCAGTTAATGAAATAAATTCTTGGAAAATGAAATGGAAGGTTAGCAAAAAGTACAACACTGTAATACTTGTGACTTGCAGCTACGAACAGTGATGCAGCATTACATGTTTACCTGTAGAAACTTAATCATTCCCAGTTGCTTTTAAACAGCTACTGTGATACATGTACATGTAAATGACTATCATGCAACAAGGTATATGTACATTGTTGTGTACAGTATGAAGTATTGGTGGTAGCTACATGTGGGTAAGGATATTGTCCTATTACGTGTTGCGCCTATCTCTTGGTTCCTCTGCGTTTGGCCCTCAGACGATCTCTGGTCCGTGATCCAGTTGCGGCGGATGACGGCGTAGATCCGATAGAGAACCCGCCAGGTGTTCCAGGTGTACCTGGGGTGAAGGCGCCAAAGTTCGGCTGAGCGGGCGTACCAAACGTGGGGGTGCCGGCGGGGGTGCCTGGGAGAAATGGTCAGAAAGAATTGTTACCTTTACCTTCGCAGAAGGAAAACATATTGTATTTGCTCTGTTTCTTCTTCCTCCTCTCCATACAAAAAAGGTCAATGACCCGGACCAGACGTCTGTCACCATGGTAACTGGTGCTGCAGCTGATGACACCCTGTGGTCTTGGGTTACATTATGTAGCAAATGTTGAGGGGCTGATTTCATAATGTACAAATGTATTACTCAAACATACCCAAACTAAACCACAAACATGTACATGTATATCCCATGAAACGAAGAAACACTACAAAAACATAGCCTTCTACTTCTAGGAATTAGGGATCTTCATGATTGTACATGTAGGTTACCTGCAGAAAAGTTGAATGACGGTGTTGGTGTACCGGGAGGCTGGGCTACGAATGCAGGCTTCTCAGGGGTGTTGGTCTGCCCAAACTTAAACACGCCGGAGGACTGCTGGGGGGTGCCTGATGCAGGGGAGTCAGATATAAAACAAAAATCTCTTACTATGCCTATGCACTACCAACTGCTACAATGTGTATTTGAAAGTGAGTAACAAATGTTTTGACAAAGAGAAAACTAATTAATGCATATAGAATCAGGGCTTGAAAAATCTTTTACTGTTATTAACATGTGACCACCTACGAAGTACAAAAGAATGGTTGCTGAACAATTTTTCGTACAATTAATACTTCCTAAATTCTGGGTGGTACAAGTATAATTTGTCAGGTGCAAGTACTTTTCAATGTTACCTGAAAAAGGGATTTAAAGCCCTGAGAATGATACTAATAGATCCTACGATGGCATGATGTTCAGCAAAACATGACATTAGACAACAACTCACTCAAGCATAAAACAGTGACTGAAAGAAACTCACCAAACCCACTAGACTGTGCTGCAGTCCCGAAATTAAACCCTGCTGTTGACGCTGTTGTTGTTGCTGCTGCACCAAATCCAGACGACGTTCCAAAAGCGTTTTGCGAAGTGCTGGCACCAAAAGCATTCTGTGTTGAAGACGCTCCAAAAGCAGGAGTAGCTGTGGCAGTGGCTCCGAAAGTCCCTGTGTTCTGCTGCCCAAATGCTGGCTGTGTCGTCATCCCCATGGGAGCTGCATTCGCATTTGTGGAGGCTCCGAAAGCATTCTGAGTGCTGCCGAATGCATTCTGGGTTGCTCCGAACGGGTTTGGAGTGGCAGATGACGCACCAAAAGCATTGGCTGCTGGTTGGGTTGCTGTGCTGCCAAATGCTGGCGTGGTACTGGCACCAAATGCAGGTGTTGTGCTAGCGCCAAAGGCTGGAGCTGTCGTAGTGCTTGCACCGAACGCTGGGGCTGACGTGGTGCTGGCACCAAATGCTGGTGCCGTGTTAGTGCTTGCACCGAATGCTGGAGCTGCAGTTGTAGTGCCTGCACTGAATGCTGGAGCTGCAGTTGTAGTGCCCGCACCGAATGCTGGCGCACTGCTGTCTGCCTTCTGTCCAAAGGAGAACGATGATGATGCCTGGGTGCTCGCTGTTCCACCAAACTGGAAAGGCGTTGCCTGGCTTCCTCCAAACGGCCCGTTACTTGTACTGCTGGGTTTTGTGGCTCCAAAAGCGTTCACCGCACCCTCTGCCGCTGCTGTTGTAGCTGTGGTCGTTGCTGCTCCAAAACTAAAGCCAGCAGCTGCTGTTGTTGTTACTGTTGAGCCAAAGTTGAGTCCAGACGAGGCTGCAGCCGTTGTTTTGGGCGCGGCGCCAAAGCTGAAGGGTGTGGCAGCTGCAGCTGGTTTTGCAGCCTGGCCGAATGAAAATCCAGCTGAACCAGATGCTGCTGTTGTTGTGGGCTGTCCAAATGAAGTCGTGGTCTGTCCGAATGCAGGAGCAGCCGTAGTAGTGGCTGCCTGTCCAAATGCCGGCAAAGACGAGGCAGTGGTTTTCCCAGACAGATTGAAAATTCCTGTACCAGTAGAAGTCGTGGCAGGTGCAGAACTTGCAGCTGCATTGAAAGAGAATCCCGCAGCTGCCGTGGTTGCTGGCTGCGTGCTCCCAAAACTGAATCCTGCACTGCTGCCTGCTGCAGCTGGTTTGGCTGTACTGGAGCTTGAAGTCCCTCCGAACGCAAACAAACCAGCTTGTGGGGGGTTACTGCTGCCCTGTGTTGTCGTAGCATTCTCACTTGCTGTTGTACCTGTTGCAGTTCCGAACCCTGAAGTTGCCGTTGCCCCAGCAGCAAAGCTGAAGGTTGCACCCTTTGTGGAAGTCGCTTGAGTCGTTGTACTTGTACTTGCATTGAAGGTAAAACCACCAGTAGAGGGGCCCGGCAGAGACCCTGCATTAAACCCTCCCACACTGGAGCTTGTTTTGGTTGTGTCTGGTTTTGAGTTAACAGTAGACGTCTGATTTCCAAAGCTGAACAGTCCTGTAGTGTTAGGCTGGGGGGCTGCTGAAGCATTCGTGGACGAAACAGAGGCGGTGATACTGCTTGCAGGACCAAAGATTGACGGGAAAGTTGTCTTTTGTCCACCAGCGTCTGGCTTTGAACCCGAGGTGGTAGATGTGTTGATGCTAGTGCCTGTAGAAAGGATTGGAGCAGCCGGCAGTGCTGCGGATGTGGAGATTGCTGTGCCCTGTGTGAGAGCTCCAAAGTTGTATGGTGGAGGTGCTGTGGATGGCAAAGATGCTGCAGTTGCAGGTGCTGATGCAGTCTTGTCTGCAGGATTACCAAAACTAAACGGAGTGCTGACTGCAGGTTGTGAAGCTGCAGCAAAGTTGGACACTGCTGCAGTCGTTGCTGCAGTTTTCTCTGGCACTGTCAATGATCCTGCTGTGAGTAGTGTGGTGGGAGCTGCGGAAGTAGTATTGAGCAGGAGGCTACTTTGAGGTTTGACTGTTTCTGCTGGTTTTGCTGACAAGGTAGAGGTGGATCCAGCTGTGCTTGCAGCTGCAGCAGGTACTGCTGATGTCAACAAACTGGTGGCAGCTGTTGAAATGCCACCTGCAGGTTTTGGTGTGAGAGTTGTTGCAAGATCAAGACCTGTAAGAGAATAATACAAAACATTGAAGGTCATACTAAAAAATATACCATAGTTTATGGCAATGCATTCCAACCAATGCTAAAAATCAAACAACTGACAGTAAACAATAGTTTTAATCCCATACCTGAAGTGTTAAGAGAAAGAGCAGGTTTGGAGCCTGTCATGAGTAGACCTGCACTAGGCCTCGTCAAGTCTGCCCCTGCAGCTGGTTTGGACAACAGAGGTTTGTCAGGAGCGGTGAACAGGCTGGTGGAGGCCGCCGGTGTTGGTGCGGCGCTGGCAGGCTGTTCCTCCCCCACGGCCGCCTGGAGGACTCGCTTCACGCGCTCAACCTTCCGTCGACGGTCCTCCTCGTAGATCTCTCGGGTGACCTCGAACCCTGGGTCAGGGCCAGGGGGCGGCTGAGGGAGACATTGAGACATTGGTCACTCTAACATTTGAGATTCATCTTCTATATTAATATAAAGGTAAAGGTACTCTTATAGCATTATTCACTGTATCTACAGGGCATGGTATTGAAAAGCAGAGTCAATGCTTAGCTTTCCAGTGCCTTTACCAATTGCAAAACAAAGGCAGGAGTTGTGTTTAGTGCTTTATCAACATCTGGCCCAGCACTGCCGGGATTCGAACCCATAAACTCTTGATCCAATATAATGTCTGCTATGCTAAAACCCTTTACCATTTACTTTAAGTACATGTATAAAAATGAAGAAGCAGCCTACCAGTTTGGGTCCTTCGTGCTGGAGTTGCAGGACCCCCCTCCTCCTGGCCGGACCCCCCCTCTGTACCGACGCCCCCTCCTTTGCTGCAGGCTTCTCTGTGTCTGCAGGTTTTGTGCCTTCTGCTGTTGTCAACGACTCATCCTGTATACTGTCTGCCTCGCTGGGTGGGCTGGACCCCCTGCAAAACAAGAAATTGGACTTACCCATATTTTCCACTTTACACCTCCAGTCTAAAAGTCAAGGAATATATGATGTAGATGTACTAAATCACAAGCCTTAATCTACACGTGTACTCACTTGACTTTCTTGGCGTCAGGTGTGTTCCTGTCCGAAGGTGTGACTGACCCTGCAGTACTGAGTCTGGACGAGGCTGGGGACGTGTTCTGGGACCCGCGGATCTTACGCTTCCCGCCGAGTCTGTCCTGCCCGCGCCGGAACGAGTTGAAGGAACTGTTGAAGGCGTTCCTTGAGGAGCCGGCTGGGCTGGCTGCACCGTTTCTTACCCTCTTCAACACCTGTGCAAGAAGAAGAAGTTATATATGATAAGATACACTAGATAAAATGACGTGCACAAAAAGAAGAGAAGAAATTGGCAGTGACGGACCACATTACTAGAAACAACTGCATAATAGACCGGGAGGGGGCTATGATGATTGTCAGAGAGAATAATAAACAAATCTGGTAGATCATGGAAGCTGTCTGGATAAAAGAGTCAACCCCGGCGATGAGCTGGGTTGAGGGGGATACAGATTTAGCCACATTAGGGATTGTGTTCTCGCCGCAAAAGTGCCACCTATATCGGCAATATATAGCGACAAGAAGTTGTACTCCAATCAGAAGCTCTGGGGAAAGTGTCTGATGACAGGCATTGAAATGTAAGCCAAAAAAACAACAACAATATCCTGTGCCATAGTGCTGTAGCAGGTACAGAAATCTACAGTTCTGCAGAATGTCCCACTGACGTACCTCTGGGTTGTCCTCCCACCTCTGCCTGAGTGCCGGCCGTTTGAGCGCCCCGGCCTGCGCCTGGATGGCTTCTCCCTCCTGGTTGGTCGGGAGGGTCCTGAATGCAGAAGAGGCGGAGCTAGCAGATGACAGGGAACTTCTTCTTCTGGGGAAGAAAACAAACAATACAGGAGCTGTGAGTCTGACAGCTGAATTATGCATGTTGCCCGTTGCAGTATCAAAATAGCTTTTGTTAATTTGCCATAGATGTTAAAGGTGTGATTGCGAAAACATAGGGTTAGAATATTGAATGATGTTCTGAATTGAAGTCTTTTCCTATGTAATAATTTTCTCTGTTTGAAAAATTTTGGACAAAATTCAGTCGCACCAGCTTGAAGTTGTAGCTATGATCATCTAGTATTTTGACATTTTAGGTCACCTAAAATGTTAAAATACTAGATGATCATAGCTACAACTTCAAGATGACTGTCCCACATTTAAATGCTAGAATACATTGTGTTTTACACATCTGTTTTCTACATTTTCAGTCCCTGAAACTAACCTTCTCTTGTCATAGTTTCCTTCCTCGCTGTCAGTGCGCGATCGTTTCCGCCTCTGCCGTAGTGCCTGTACGACCGTTTCTGTATCACACGGGTCTGCTGACGGACTCTCTTCTGCAGCTGACAATCTGGAAAAATCAATAACTTGTATCAGCCTTATAGTTATACAAGTTCAGTCTCAAGATGCTTCATTGAATACAAAGAAGTTACAGGTCCACGGCTAACTGTGGGATTGGTTCTGGAGACAGACCAGGGTCTTGACGCAGTTGTTGCTTACTTGAACTGTATTATCTATTGGATCACTTCAAGTTCAGCCAAAATCTAGGAGAAAAAACTACCAAACCTGATTTTTTCAAGACTTAAACTGCATGGAAACCCAACATTAGTTTTTCTAGTCCTTACCTTGAGCTTGGCCTGAGCAGTAGACTGGGTGAGGAGACCAGGGATGTGTTGGGAGGGGGAGCGGCTATCTTCACAGTGACTGGACTCTGGCTGTTCCCCCTCTGGCCATGTGGACTGAGTACTCTGGACACCAGACTGCCCTGCCATCTCACATGGGGCAACGTCCCTCTGAAAATAGCATAAACATGGCTGTGACCTTGTTTAGATACAGGTCCAGACATGTACCTTAACACATTTTAGGTAAAGGTACATGTACATTGGTTTAGGTACGAGTCCAGACCTGTACCTAAACAAGTTTGGTCTTTGTTAGTGGTAAATTCTTGTCTTTGTAGGAGAGTTTCCATGTTTCAATCAAAAAACAACAGAATTTGAAGTGCTAAGACTATCAAAACTGTTACTTGAGGTGAAACTATCTGTATCTTTTACTAAAAGTTTTTAGTGTTTTATTTTGTGCAGGTGCGCAGTGGGTCTACCACTTCATGAGAGAAGTTGGAGGTGAAAGGAGGAAAGATAGGGGGGAGCACAAAAAAAAGACGTCTGCACGCTTATCTTCAACTCAAAAAAGACCTTTCCTACTTGGGTACGTGAGATCTGTCAGGACCAGACTTGTACATGTACCTGCAACCTGATTCTGTTACCTGAATAATTTTTGAGGTACAGGTACATGTAACAGGTGTTAGGTACATGTATATATAATAGGCACACAGACCTACCTTGTTGTGTACTGTGCCTGGTGTGTGGGGTACCTCCGTACTGCAGGTGTGGGGCTGGCAGGTGATGTAACAGGCATGGTCGGGCTGCCAAGGGTACTGAACAAATAACAGAGATATTGCTCATAGGAAATTCATATATAGTCTACTACTTGATAAATTATGTCACCTAGGAAATAACAGAACTTGTTAATACATATATATGAGCAACTGCAAAAACTGGCTGAACATGACAAAAACTGTATATCAATCATCAATAGTACCAATATCTGACTATATAGAGTCTATATAGTCTGATATTGGTACATTGTATATTAAACTTAATGCTTTAAGTACATCTTAAAGAATGTATTGCAAAAAAAATCCACTACTTAAAAAAGTACTATGGCTAGCTAGTCTTCGGTTAAGGAAATACATAGCACAGAAACTAGTTATGTAACTTAACCAACAGATGGAGTTTAATTCAAAACAAATGTAACTTTAATGCTTTTAACATTTAAAGTGAAAGGGGGCCAGTGAAAGGTTAGTGATCCATGCAATACTTGTATCATATGGAAAGTGTCTGCCGTCTTTTAAAAAAGCTGACATTTTGTTCCCAACAAGTCACTTTGTCACAAGTGACTCATCAGCCAAAGGTCATTTTAGAAACCAACTCTAGTATCTTCAGAGGGCAGAACAGTGAATCATCAAAAGATCAAGGCCATTTTATACTCCAGGCTTGCTTACATGATTTGATTAATGTCTCCACTCTCCCTCCAAGTAGATGTTACAACGTACGTTTTAAGTGTTTTTGATGTATTAACCGCTATCGCCTTAACATATTACAACACTTTAATACACGTGGGAAAATTACACATACAACATCAAATTTACCCACACATCGTAACTCTGACTGAGATTTACGATTTTATCTCTAGAAAATGAAGATAATAATCTACAGAAAATTATGTGACACGAAAAGTAATAAATTATTTTTACATGGAAAACGCAAAAATAAAAAGGCTGTAATCTGTAAAATATGTACCTAAAATGTCCAAATCCAAATCTGTCCTTGACAGAACGGCTGACAGAAAGTCTACAATCCGCACTGGTTTCAATTTTTCTTACCTGAACGTAAGTCGCCTTGTGATCGTGCTGAGTGAAAGTTCTTCCCCGGGCGAAGGGAGAAGGGGTCCCGCAGATGACTGGAGCTCGTACTCGGGAGACCTAGTTCTTACAAAGCTAAGGGTAGGGCTGAAGGGCTTCTTGCTGCTGCTACCAACGGTTCTGTTACCAAAAGAGCCATTCATGTAAGACGTTTCCGGTGTCGAATTTTTTCTCGTCCGCTTCGGGCGCCATGCGACGGCTTGCCGCTTCTTATACTGGTAGGTGTCGTAGGCCCATGCACCGGCGACGGCCGCACCAGCCAAGCCCGCAAGGGACAGGAGGAAATAAAATATTCCAAAGAAATAAATTCCTGTCAGGAAACCTGCAGACAAGCCACCGATCGCATAAAATTTGCGATTTTCTGGCTGCATTTTGCCATCATCTTAAAGGGTTGGCGCCATCTTGAACATTGGCAGCAATAGCTATCAACTGCGCATGCGTATGTGAATAAGGTTGAAGGTTCATTTTAAAATTTTGACCAATCAAAAAACATGTTGTACACAGATTATATCTACAAAAAGTTATCCCATCAGTGATTGGTTTGTGGTCACAAACTTTATCCAATCAAACCTCGGAATGGGAAAGTACAGGACGGAGTATTTAAATAACGTGTCTCTGATTGGTTAGTCAGAATAGAATCAACGGATTCGAAAGAAGGCGGCCATTTTTGATTTCATTTCGAGCGCCCCGGATTCTAAACCCTGAGAAAAGGAAAACATTTCTGAAGATATCAGCACATTTGAAGATTGAGACAATAGCTTCTGGGCTTTACAAAGGTATCTGTGGTTTGTAGCATGTCTTGAAGTTTACGAACTGTATAAAAATACGATACAGCAAATTATGCAGTGCTAGTGGTAGTGCATACAGTGGGACCTTTTGTTGTTGTTTGGGGAGGGGGGCATTTTGATTTTCCTGTATCATTATGTCATCACCAAATTTACTAGCATTGTCTTGTTTCGTTCACGAAAGACATCAGCCATTAAACATTCATTTGAGTCAACTTGTAATGTAGAAAATATGATATGAGTGAAGTTGTCAATTATTCTGTTTTTTTTATGGTGCATAGTTCTTCAAGTAACAAAATGTTGTGATTTTGTTCTAGAACATCATGAGCTTTGAGTTTGCAGTGCCGCTAGCGCGGAAGGACCTTCTGAAACGCACCTCAGACACACAGTATGTAGTGGAGGAGGTTCTGACTGTCAGGCAGATCAACACACAGATTCATGGTGAGTTATTATTTTTCAATGGTTGCACAATTTGCATTTTTGTAGGTCCTGTCAAACATGGCAGTTAGTGTGTATCACCGTATGGCCATTCTGCATCATACTCCTTTTAGTTACAGGTCTACATAACATCTTTCACAGCGTTGTTGTTGCAAAGCCAATCTGTATATATGTAGAATAGTTGATACTGTACGTACTAATGGCTAGGTACATCATGTATGTATGAATTTGTATTTCTCAATTCTATTTCTAATGTCTTCCCAGGTTTGAAGGCTGCCTTCAGATCAGGACCTGCTGCCATCTTGGACAACTTTGACCTGATCTACAGTGTTCTTAGGTAAGGTCTGGGTTAAATCTGGTTTGTGCAAGAAACATCTATGGGAACAAGTGAGAACTGGATGATCTACAAGCCAGAGAAAAGTTAGCACATTGCTGAAGCAATCTATGTGTAATGGTGGAATTACCTAAGTGTTAACTTGTGTCTTACAGCCAGCTAAATGAAGTTGAGACTGAAGTCAAGGAGGAGGTCTGGACCTTACTGGTCAAGGGTGGGTTGACTATAATACATTTATTTGTTCGTTTGTAATTGTTTTAGCCAGTCAATCAATCTGCAAAATGACTTGTCTTTGTCTGGTTATTATTTGTCATGTTGAGATTTAGATAAGAATAACAATGTTCTGATTCATCTGATGTCAGACAATTGTGCTTGTGTACAACAGTAACAGAATAGAGAAATATAGTAGTATAACATTTCATTCAGTCTAACACACTTGATCATGACCTGATCCCCCTGCAGCCGTGTCACAGCATGCAGGCGAGCTGCCAGCCCTGCTGGATACTGCAGACTTTGACTGCAGCACACGTCTGCAGCACCTCAACACCCTGAAGATGACAACATACCTCCTCACACAGTTCATGGAAGCCTTCGAGGCAGAGGACACCAAGCCTACAACTGTTACTGTCACAAAGGTTTGTGTTGTGTGCTTATCAGAATGGTGGCGTCAAATTGCTGTGTAATTAGGCTTGCGGACACGTGACAGACCAAGAGATTCCTGACATTCCTGACTTAGACTTGTCTTCTGTGACCGCGACCACCCCAAGTTGAGTTTGCAATCCACCATAACTTGCATAAAACAGGACCATAGCTTTGGGAAATATTGTTCCCAAAATTGCCTTTGTTGCAATGGTCAACTTGACCAGAAACTGACTTTTCTCACATTTTTGTTGCATGTTGTACTGTGTATGACTATTTTTCATCAATGTTTACAAGTTTGATCCATGTACGTATGTCATATGAGAGTGACCTGTGTTGTTCATAGGGCCGTAAGTCTAAGAGGAAGACTACAACAAAGGGGGACTGGGACTGGGAAGGAGAGCGACTGAGGGCGGTTCAGTCTCTGTCCCAGGTTACCCAGCTGGAGATAGGCAGACTGTGGGAACCACCTGTAGTGGAGGAGGAGTTTGTCAAGTAAGAAAAACAGCTTTGTTCCAATTTTGTGTATGAAATTCTCTTATACTACCTGTTGCACCCTTTACCACTCTAATGCAGTAAATTGAAAGTGTTACTATATCTACAAATTTTATAGTCAAACCTGTGCAAGTAACCGCCTCTACACAAGGTTATCATGAGTGGTCGTCTTGGGCAGTTTTTACTGTATCTCATTACTACAAGTACAAGCTGCTGTACGTATGGTAAAGCTACATGTACTATAGAGAGTGCATTTGTAAGTGGCTTATTCCTGACAATATAAATTATATATCATAATGTTCTATTCCTCAGTATGGTAGCTAGCTTTAGAATCTACATGTACAATAGAGAATGTTTTGTGTTTTTTTCCTGACTGTTTTGTGTTCTATCCCACAGTATGTTAGCTAACACCTGCTACAAGTTACTGGAGAACCCCAGCACCTGTAAGGAGAAGTGCACCAAGGATGCCGTCTTCCACCTGCTGGGGACACTGGTCAGGCGATACAACCACGGGCTGGGTTAGTCTTGTTGTAGTACTTACTAAAAATATAATTGGGTTTCTGAAGCCATTTGCTTTGGTACTTTTTTTGCAAACAAAAGCTGTAAATGCAAAAGCTACATGTACATCCAAAGGATGTGTGATGTTTCGGGCTAAATAAGAATTCTTATGAAGATAAGGAGACATTGAAAAAGCATTGAAATCACATATCTGTATATGCTGCATTTGATATGTGTCTGTGTGTAAGTACAAGGTACAAGGTTGCTTCAGACTTCGCCATCCTTAGGACATTGCCATCTTTAGCCCTGCAGCCTGAGCTCAAATGCCAACACAAATGTGTACATAAAAATGTGAGGTCTTGCTCCCTTATGTCCCCACCTGCAGGTGCTAGCCTGAAGATCATCCAGCTGCTGCAGCACTTTGAGCACCTGGCCAGCCCCATGGCTCAAATGGTGGAACTCTTTGCTCTGCAGTTTAGCACCAAGTCTGTCATCAGTGACATCATGAGGTGGGACCTCGTAGGCTACCTACAACCTTAGAAAGGCAATATATGAGAGAATGTTGTTGTTCGTCCATTGTTCTCGTCAATGACCAGACACATCACATTAGGTTCTGTGTGTCCGGCTCACTTGTGATTCCTATGTCTGCTTTGAAGGCCCTCTTTGAATGAGACTGTACAATTTATCTAAACCTGAACAGGAAAGAAGGTCTACGTGGCACTTGGACCCTGCTCCGCCATCCCTGTGAGAGAATAATCTAAGGATTTGTTTTTACTGTGTTAATTTTGTTCTCATAATAATCACCAGTACATATATAAAATGTTGTTTCCATGCTGTACTTCTCATATTTTTCTTGTTTATTTTTCACTTTTGTCTTTTTTGTCTGCCTGACCCAGATATTCAAGACCAGTTGAGTTCAGTTCGTCCTTTTTAAGGTTACAGCATAAAGTGTTTCCATAAACAAGTTCCTGTCTTGCTGGACCAAAAACAGTTTATTAGGATTGGAAAGTATGAAAACATGGTAAACATATATTGTAGTTGCCTGACTAACTTTGAGTCTTCACTGTCTGTACAGAGAGATTGGTCGTATGGACCCCGCTAAGCTGGTACGTGACAACAGCGGGACACGGTCGTACGCTGCGTTCATGGTGGAGCTGGCGGAGAGAGTTCCCGCGCTCATGCTGCCTAACATCAGCGTCATCCTCTGTCATCTGGACGCAGAGGTCAGTTCAGGTCAACGGTCAGCTCGGATTGGGTTTTAATGTGTAATTGACAATTTAATGGAAAGAAAGGCATTCAACTTTTTAGCCTAGAGTAGAGAGTCTTGAAATTTTACTGCAAGCCTGTCACTCAAAATTTGAATGATGAAATATTAGCATTTACACAAGGATGCTCAAGGTTTGGAATCTCTAGATCTCTGGATTTATATACAAATTAACTTTTTAAGTCTTTACCTGCTGAGTAATAGCACTGTATGTTAGACAACTTGTTGAATGGCCTTGCCCACAGCAAGGGGAGAATATACCATAGGTACATTATCCTATGTGTAAAAGTTTCATCTATTTTCTCTACTCCCCAGTCCTACACCATGAGAAATGGTGTTCTTGGTGTCATGTCTGAGATCGTCATTAAGGAACTCAGCAAAGGGGACCTGGATGACAAGTCTAAGAAAGCACGGGACCAGTTCTTGGACTGCTTAGAGGTAAGATAAGAAAGTTCTCTCTTTTGTAGTCTTGTCAACCAGAGATTGCTTTGCAAGTTGAAGTTACTAGGAAGACAGTATGTCCAAAATGCAGTTGGATTTTTGTAGAAAACTAGTGGAACTGGCAAAAAAGCAATATTCGTTCCTCAAAATTTTTAGATTCAAATATCTTTTGCATCTGATTTGTATCAATTCCTAACTGTTCTGTCCTCCCCTTCTGCAGGATCACATCCATGATGTCAATGCCTTTGTTCGCAGCAAGGTTCTGACCCTCTGGCTCCACATCTGCAATGAAAAGGTCAGATTTCTTACCCTGAACAAGCAGGAACATTGTTGTAGATATTTATGTTTACCTTTGCAGAAGGAAAACCTTTTTGCCTGTTTCTTCTCCAAACACATAAGGTCAATGATCTGGACCAGACGGCTGTCAGCATGGTAACTACAGTTCTGTAGCAGACACCCTGTGGTGTTGGGTTACATTATGTAGTGGGTAGGACATAGTTGGAGGGGCTGGTCACTATGAATATGTGTCTGAATAAGAATAAAGTACTTAGTTTGTTCGTCTAGACCATATGAAGGTAAACATTATGCATTTGCAAATTTTACCTTTCTACGTACGCCAGTAGTGTTATTGTAGTGAGAAACAATGGCAAAAATTCCTTCTGCCTCACAGGCCATCCCTCTAGGCCGGTGGCACCAGCTGCTGTGTCTGGTGGTGGGGCGGCTCCAGGACAAGTCCAGTCTGGTCAGGAAGGTTGCCATCCAGCTGCTCACTACCTTCCTCACATCCAACCCTTTTGGAGCAAAGGTGAGAACAGCACTGAGAAATAAAACACAGAGGACATTGTATTGCATTGCATACATGCATACTAGTATGTTCTGTAGATAAGAACCATGTTTCTGGACTAGTGTTAAGTTCTGACCTACATTTGTTGTCACAAAACCAACTTGTCTGATGGAATCCTCTTGTAACTTATTAGGGTACACAAGGGGTAAAATGTAGTAGGGGGCATATATTGAGCCTGTACATCATTCTGAACATATTCATATACTAGCATTGCTGTTGTTTGTAAGTTTGTTTACGTTTTCAATCTTAGCTCCCCCTTGACGTGCTGAAGGCAGAACTAGAGAAGGAGTCGGCTAAGTTAGCAGAGATCATGCCTGAACAGCCTCTGGACCAGCCACAGGGTAAGTAGCAGACTGATTTATTCGTCCATACGGACAACAATATGGGAGACTGCATTGTGAAGTTGTTTACTATAGCCTGAGTCAACGAAAGGATTATGCTCACAATTTGCCATCGTTTTGTGAACTCTTTGTGTTGTTTTCTGTGTTGTGCCATGTCTAGATGGGCGTCCAGTTGAGGAGGAGTGGTCAGCCATCCGGCCGGAGGTGATGACCGCTCTACAGGACCTACAGCAGGAGGAGGAGGAGGAGGAGGAAGAAGAAGAGCTGATTGGGGAGGAGGATGGGCTTGAGAGGTGAGGTCTTTTTCTATATAGCATAAACCCTCATTTGCCCTTTAGGGTTTTCCAAAGGGGCTGGAGAAAGTGATCTTGATCCAGTTAAGCTCAGTGATGTCCGGTGCTATGTACAGCATTTTGCAGGTTCATCAGGATTCAAATTCAAGACCACCTCCTATCTTAGATGCTGGACTATGCACATGGCAGACTATGGCTATTTATGTAGCAGACAGTACGAGAACAGCTTTCTGTAATCTCCATATCATTGAACTTCATCTCGATACCTTATTCCTACCCTCCCAGTGTTGTACTGAGAGTGAAGACCCTCCTGCAGCAGTCCCAGCACAAGTCAGCAGCCAGGCTGGTGATGGCAGCTCGAGACAGCTGGCCTGACGAGCACATCTTCCTACCTGCTCACACCGGCAGCAAGGAGGAGGAGGAGGAGGAGCAGGATGAGGATGAACTTCAACCTGACCAGAGGAATCTGTTGGAGATCCTGGAAGCCATCTTTGTTGGTAAGGAAAAATTACTGTTTGGAACTTCTTAATGGCAGATGTGCAGTTCTTGAGTCACATTGGGAAGACCAAACCCCTGTGTATCCTCATTACTGTTGTAGTTAGGACGGTTCACCCTTTTGACAATTGATTAGCCAAGAGGCTCAGTGGACTTAAGTCCAGCTGTAGTAATTGCATAGCTGTGTGGGGCTACAGCAATGGAGTTGGGCACTGCCCTATGCACATTTATAGGTGAAGGAAGGAACTTTGATTTTGAGAACTTATGATACCAAAAAAAAAATTTACTAGTAATATATCACCAAATAAACTTGCTTACATGTACAAAATGCATTGTTTCTTCTGCTGACATAGGGACCACAGTTGAGACCCCCCTTCCCAACCCTGAGGAGGTTCTGCCTGAGTCTCTCCCAGAGGGGGGTACAGAGGAGGGGGCATCAGAAGTGACAGAGACAGAGGGGGGTGCAGAAGGTGGTGTTGTTAATGAAGTCAGCAAGCAACAGGTCATCGTGCAGTACCTGAAGGTTAGTATGGGGGGCGTTTATGTACCCATGGACTTTCCTGTCTTTGAACACTGTTGTCATACAAATAGGTCCAACATAGCATTAGCATACGTGTAGGTTACAGAAGATGTAAATATTTAAATTTGACTGGATCAAATAGCTGTTTTAAAAGGGGAAAAAACACTGCAATCATTCTTGTTAATCCACAGCATACTGGGTCAGAACCCTGTCAATCAAATGAAACCCAATCTCTTCCCATTCACTTCTGTCCCACAGAAGTAATCACAGCAATCTTTCTTGTCCCCTGCAGGATTCGGTTAACTTTGCGACAGAGATGCAGCGCGCTATCCCCATCCTGTGCCAGCTGCTGGGGTCAAAGGCCACCTCGGATGTCCTGGAGACCATCGAGTTCTTCGTGAGCGCGTTTGAGTTCGGGCTGGCGGGGGCGATGGAGGGCGTGCGGCGCATGCTGGTGCTGATCTGGTCTGGGGAGAAGTCTGTGAAGGAAGCTGTAGTGGAGGCATACAAGAGGCTGTATCTCACTCCTACTGGGGGCAATCCCAGGTACTATGCACAAGTGTTAGTCAAGCAACTGGATAGATTTTGAAAACTGACAGGTTTCTAGTGACATCCACTAAGTTTTGTCAGTGACTCACTAACAGAATCTGTAGTTGAACAGGTATTTATCTAAAAACTAGGTATGGTTCTCTATCATGCCATAGGAAGGTGTCAAAATATGATCAATATGTACATGTACATTTTTGTGGGGGGCACATCTAATAATGTTTACTTTTGCAGAAGGAAAACATATCTTCTCCAAACACATAAGTCATAAGGTCAATGACCTGGACTAAATGTCTGTCACCATGGTAACTGGTACTGTAGCACACACCTTGTGTTGTTTGATTGCATTATGTAGCAAGTGAGAGAACAGAGTTGGAGGGGCTGGTCACCATAAGTTTGATATTTGTTCCCCCAGAGCCAGAAACCTGGCCATTGTGAAGAATTTGGCAGCTCTGACGGTCAGTGCTACTGTAGGGGAACTCACTTCACTGGAGGAGCTGGTAAGTTAATACAATGTATGACCAACTATTGTGATAAGTGTAATGATAATAATATAAGACTTTAGATCTTTCAGCTATTTGCTTATCTAAATTTATCCTGCTGCATTTTTCCAAAGGATTTGATAATCAGAAGAAAATATCAATGAATGATTTTGTGTACATGTTGTTTTATTCTGCCCAGATCTGTGAGTTGGTGCGCAGCTCCCTCCTGTCCTCCGGTGTGGTGACCTTACTGTGGGAAAGGTTTGCGCTGAAGATCCAGGGCACTACCGCTGAGGACAGCCGGGGGGCGCTCATACTGCTGGGCATGGCTGCCGGGTGAGTAAACTGTTAGATGTTACACTAGTTACTTTTCATTTCAGATGGGATCATTGGGTCTTAGGTGTTGTTTTTGGTGTGTGTGTGTGTGTGTGTGTGATTATGTGTGTGTGTGTTTGTTTGTTTGTGTGTCGTGTAGGTATATGAGTTGCAGGAAAGGAGGAGATTTTGTAACTGTAGATTGACAAGGAGGTCAAATTCATCATCAATCTATTGTTGCCCAGATATGGGTGAATAGACATCCAAGTAATATAAAGAGACACACAACAAAACAGTTACTAAAGATTCAGGCAACTTCATAGATTTTGAAAGCTGTTTTTTAGTTGCTTGAGTGTATTTTTTTGCTCATGTTTTCTCCCAGTGCTGAGCCAGACATTGTGAGGAGTAATGTAGACGTGCTGGTACAGGAAGGACTGGGACAGCGTGGACAGCACGACCTTCTGCTGGCCAAGGACACCTGCACAGCACTGCTCAAACTCGCCGGCAGTCAGAAGGTGCCTGAATCTTAAACTGTGTCTAAGGAAAGAGATTGTTACACTCCAGAGTTGAAATAACTCAAATATACTTTTATTAGTTAATTGTCTCCATGTCAGTATTTGACAATATTGAAACTGTATAGCATTGTTGGATGCAAGACAGGAAAATATTAACTCAGTTGCCATTAATTGAAATTATAGGCAGCAATTTAATATACAGGTAGAAGAGAAAATAACCTTACTAATGCCTGGAGTAATGGTCTGAAAGCTACATGTATGAATAGCATACATCTCTATGGAGATGGAGATCACCACCCTGTATGGACAAATGACCTAAACTAGCCCTAGTAGTATACTGCAGTAAATAATTGGTTGATAATGATATGGTCCAAAATTGTAATAGTCTAACACAGCTGTTTTTCTACCAGCGTAAGGCAGGGTGCCACGAGGAGCCACTCCGCTTCCCCGCCGACCACGACATGTTCACTGGACTGGCCGAAATCCTGGTCAAAGGTGAGGGGGAAGCTATTTGGAACGTCAGACAGTTTTCAAAGTCTATCCAGTCTGTCTGATTGAGTAACAATTTCCTTGACAAAATTTTGATATATTGCAATATTGCAGAACACTCACAAAAAGTATTTCTACCACTGCTATGCACTGCTACACTGAGTTGTATTTCGTTGTTTGTCCTGTCTTTAGGAGTTGAGAACGTGTCAAACCCGTACTGGATCCCCCTGATGGAGCAGGGACTGAACGTGGTGTACCGTCTGTCAGAGAACCCCGACGTCGTCATCGGTAACGTCATCAAGGCCGTCACAACTGTCGTGCTGCAGGCCAGGGACGCTGAATCAGCTCAGGAACAGGCTCAGGAACCTGAATCAGCAGAAACAACAGAAGGTAATACTGGGGGAAAGGCAATTTCTCATCTATTTTTTCAACTCACTGTGAGAAGTACACAAACAGATACATGTGCTTTTGACACAAGTAGTCCATAATTGCTGAAAGTTGTTGGAGATTCTTAAGTTCTAAAATCAAACCATGTCACACAAGAAAACAGTTGCTCAAGCAACTGGATAGAGTTTGAAAACTGTCAGGCATTTCAAGTAGCTATAACATCCACTACTTTTCATCAAGTCTGACAGTTCATAATCTATCCAGTTGCTTGAGTAACTACTTTTCGTGTATATCTCATTACCTGGATGTCTAACCTTCATCAACAAAACCATGTCGCAATTCGCCAGAAGCTCCTGCCAGCCCTGCTAAAGTCATCACGTGCTCCTCTGGTGTGCTGTCCCGTCTGCTGGCACTGCTGGGACACTGCGCCCTGAGACAGCTGGTCCACCTGGACGTGGCACTGTCGGGCGAGCTGAAGCGACGCAGGATGATCCAGGAGGACAGGAACAACAAAGCGGGGAAGAAAGGCACCAGCAGTGTCAACAACACTCCCAGGAACACACCTTCTGGGAAGGGGAAGGTCAGAGATCGCTAGATTATTGGTTTCAGGACTCCAGACTCACTTTTTGACTTAGGTGCACTTGCACTCCCAGCCCAAAAAAATTTGGGCACGCCTGCAAAAATCTAGGTCCACCACCATGAAGTTACATCATCTGATCATCATTATATCAAACAACTGCAGGACATCACATTAATATTGCGTTTTTTGTATGTAAGTTGTAACAATACATGTACATTGAAACATGCAGAGTAGAAGTGCCATGATCAGACTCAGAAAGCAAGAAAGCAAATACAACTGTGTGCAGTTATGATTGTTAAGCTTTGCAGTCCATGATAGGAACATTATAGTGCATGCAGGTCTTGATGGGGGTACATCTATGTATGGAAAATCTCTAGGCGTATTGCTTAATTTTGGGGAGCATATGCTCCTACAATGGAGGGCTTAACATGTAAAACACCTTGTGTTCCTACTCCAGGATGATAAGGAGATGTCTATAGAGGATGAGATGGGTCTGGCTGGGGCCTCGGCTGACGACGCAGAGGCTGACTACATCCGCAAGATCTGTGAGACTGAGGTCGTCACTGGTAAGTCACTAACTATGGTCCAGGTCACGGATCCAAGGTCACGGGTCCATCATTCCAGGCTAGATGATGTGTCCTTGGGAAAGGCACTTGACACAATTTTCCACACTCCACCCATACAGGTATAAAATGGGCACCAGACTTCAGTTGGGGAGGTATTTTAACTAAGGCAGTGGAAGGAGAGAGATGGGCCCTGCTTTCCAAATATCTTTCTCTAGACAAACTAGTGGATCAAAAACCCACTACCCCTATGCCAGCAAAAATCCTATGGGACTACCTTTATTTACTTTAACCACATCGGGGCCTGATCCTGTACATGTTACCTGTGATTTCCTCCCCCAGGATCCAGTCTTGTGGCCCTGTTGGCCCCAGTCATCGTGGCTGTGTGCAGTAACCCCACCAGGTTCCCTCACCCCCAGCTCAGAGCCACCGCCAGTCTGGCTCTCGCCAAGTACATGCTGGTCAGCTCCGAGTTCTGTGAGGCACATCTGCAACTGCTCTTCACCATTCTGGAGAAGGTTGGGGATTTTCTTGAACTTAGAACTTATAATTTGCTAAGTTAGTGGTAAACAGAACTGCAGTTCCTGTATAATCTGCCAGAGGGGGTGAAGTCTTCTATTGCTTTGACTGTATCTTGGGCTCTTTTTCACAAACTTCAAAAAAATCCTTTACCAAAAAGCTGGGATAAAATTGGTGTCCCTGCTTTCAGTTCGTCATGAAAATAAACAATGCGGTTCACACCTACTTTTTGCCTGAATTTACACGTTTTTCTGGTCTGTGTATACTGAATTTTTGTGTTTGTACCACCAGTCTCCACAGCCCATCATCCGAGCCAACACCATCATCGCGCTGGGAGATCTGAGCTTCCGCTTCCCCAACCTGATCGAACCCTGGACTCCCAACCTGTATGCCAGGTACGGCCTGTAGATCAAGAAGATGATAATAAGAAAAGGTGGTACTGTACAAAAATGTAAATGCGTCTACTTTTGCAGTGTTTTGAATTGGTGGTTGAAAACTTGAAACAGTTCTGTAGTACAGTAGTAATACATGTACATTTGCATTGGAAACACATATTCACAGTGTCCTGAATTTGTGTCATGGCAAAAAGTTTAGATATTTACCGTATTGTTCTGTTCACTAAAAAGTACACAGTAGAACGATCAGAACTACCTGCACCTAATCTTCTTAGATGACAGAAAAAAGTAGGATTTTCCCACTCTGACACACCTGTACATTTCCCTTCTACAGACCCCAAGATACCTGATAGTGTATATGTACATATACAAATCTAACACTATTGTTCTCACAGACTGCGTGATGACTCGTCCCACGTGCGTAAGAACACCCTCATGGTGCTGACCCACCTCATCCTCAACGACATGCTGAAGGTCAAAGGTTACATCAGCGACATGGCGGCCTGCATGGTGGACGAGGTGTCCGGGATCGCCGACCTCGCTAAACTCTTCTTCCTCGAGCTGTCCAAGAAGGTCAGGCCGTAATCTCTTAATTATTTTTACCTTCACAGAAGGAAAACATATTGTTTCTTCTTCAAACACATAAGGTCATTGACCTGAATCAGATGTCTGTCACCATGGTAACTGATTCTGTACCAGACACCCTGTGGTGTTGAGTTACATTATGGCGTGCATTACATTACATTACGTAGCAAGTTGTAAGACAGAGTTGGGGAGGTTGGATGTGTTTGAGTTAAAGAGTAAAGCAGTAGTTTGTCAGGATAGACTATGTGAAGATGCTGAACATTGTGTACATATACACTAAGTTTGTCAGGATAGATCTAGACTACATTGTATATGTGAAGATACTGAACATTGTGTACACTAAGTTTAAATGGTCTCCTACTTTTTCTGCAGGGTAATGCCATCTACAACATCATGCCTGACATGGTGAGTCGCCTGTCAGACCCAGGCTGTGGGGTGACTGAGGAACACTTCAGGACCATCATGAAGTGAGTACAATATTCTGTTCTTTACGAAAATCATGTCTCAGATTAAGTTTTTTCACAGTTTTAAGTGTGCAATGTGTAGTGGGACGAAGTTTAGAAATGTATTTGAACATTGTACTGATGATGCATGTGGCTTTCTATGTCAAGTTTGTAGTGTTGTTTTGAACTACCTTTTTCTTAAACCTGCCAGGTACCTGTTCTCCTTCATCCAGAAGGACAAGCAGTCGGAGAGTCTGGTGGAGAAACTGTGTCATCGCTTCAGGGCCACCAGGTAAGTACATCAAATAAAACAAAGGTAAAATGCAATAGTACAAAATAACATATTTGCAGTATATGACTTTGCAGTGTAGTCAGGGCTCTAAATACTGGGTGCATGTGTGCACCCAAATTTGGAGCTGTACAACCAATTTTTTTCTGTGGGTGCACCGATGCACTCAAATATTTTCGTAGCTTTATGTATATAATTATAAAGATATAAAATTTATATAGTATACTGTATATTTTCACATTTACATTTGTAAGTGTCAGAAAAATAATAAAATCTTTGTTGTTTAAAGATTATTCTATGTGGTGCTCCAAAGTTTGTGTACCCATTTTTTGTAGGTTGGATACACCAGTGCACCTATTCTAAAAAATGAATTCCGAGTCCTGTAGTCAAGGAACTGCAAATATTTCCAGATGTACAGTATTTAAATTCTGTGTCCCAGGACGGATCGCCAGGCACGTGACCTGGCCTTCTGCCTGTCCATGCTGTCCCTGAGTGAGAAGGGTATCAGGAAACTCCAGGAGAACTTTGCCTGCTTCGGAGACAAGCTCGGCAGTGAGGACATCCACAACTCCTTCTGCACCATCCTCAAGAAGGCAAAGAGCTTCGCCAAGCCAGAGGTCAAGGTAAGAGCTGAAAAACCTCAACAAACTAAGTAGAAATAGTTTCCATTTTGTAGTAGCAGCTCTGAAAGGAATTTGTGCTGTTCTGCCTCTAAGGTAAAAGGTAAAGCATTGGATCTTTTCCTGACATCTCAAATATATTAGATTCATGCTCTTTGGTGAAGAAGACATTTCTTCTACTCGCAATGTTTTAGAATTGTAACATTTTAGAAGTTACTTAAACAGTTACCATGCTGAAATAGCTATTTGGCTACAGATTTTCTATTGGTTACAAGGTTAAGCAGTAAAGGGAGGAAGTTTTAGTAACTGTTCTGCATTGCTGAGGGAATTTACAGTTCACACTACCTTCCCCAGGCCCTGGTGGATGAACTGGAACAGCGTATTGAGCAGTGCCATAACAAGGGCATGAGCGATGATGAGACACTACAGAAGGCCAGTAAGGCTCGAGGCAAGAAGGGGGGACAGACTCCAGGTAAGGCAAACTCCAACTTTGTACAAAACAGTTGCTTCAAAAATGTAAAAATTACCAATAAATTTGAAACTGTGACTCAGTTTTGCCCACATGGGTGTCCTAAGATGTTCCAGTCCCTAAATTTTTCAATTGATCAATTTTTATGACAAAGAATTTTAGACAACTAGGTGATGGGATACCAGAGTAGGTGATGGGATACCAGAGTAACAGTTACTCAAGCAATTGGATAGAAGAAGACAGTTAAGGTAGTGGATGCTACACATGTACTTAAAAGAAACATCTGACTGATTTCAAAATCTATCCAGTTGGTCCAGTAGCTGTCACTTTGGTTTTGAATTCAATGTTAGGCCACACCAAGTAAATTTTATGGATGACGTCCTTTGGAGACTCCAAATCTAATGCGAGAGGGCGAAAAAAAAACAAGAAGGGCCCAAAAAAACAAGATGCCTAGATTAGAAATATACTAAGAGACAACAGATGTTAGGACACAAATTGAATGAGGTGACACAGTGTAACAAGCAAGAAGTCTTTTATTCATCATCAAAACAGCAATAAATCAGGTGGAACGGCAGTTGTCGTCCTGTCACATTTTTGCAGGCCTGCAGAAACAAAGCATAAAAGGCAAAATTAGTTGCTGATTAACCCTTTGCATGCATTACTGCATTTCTACCTATGCAAATAGTCTATAGGAGCTTTTGAGAAAGAATATCAATAAAGGTGGAACCAAACAAAATATGTTTAGAGCTATTCTACATAAGTTGCATAATGTATTTATGTAGGTAACAAATGTATGCCTACCTGGCAAACAGGGTCTATTGTCTGGTATGCAGCTGAGTCTTCTCTGCCAGTATGGGCAGCGTTTCCTCCTCACCGCAGTTCCAGCACACCAAAGGCAGCATCGTCTTCATCACCCCTGACTTCAGTCTGGCTGAATAGTAGTACTGTGCTACTGGTGAAGTGCATGTCACTGCACTACATGAAACAGGTGGAAAATTATGGATCAATAGTCAATTGTGCTAAAATGCAACTCTTCAGAAAATTTTTTTTTTTCAACATAAAGGCTTAGGTTATATGTTGTAGTTAAATGTACGTCTTTACTGTCCCCAAAGTGCCTTAAATTTAAAGGGTATATTCTGCAACAATCCATATCAAATGTACCTCACTACTCACCTGTGTTGTTATTGCTACATTGTTGTGTGCTCCCAGTCCCAGCATAGGCTGGAAACATCCACTTCTGCTGACCTTGTTCTCCTGATGCTTTCATCATACCTGTATACATGTACAATGTACATGTAAAAGAAAAGTGAACCTTCTGTTCCTAGTTCACAATGTGTCTTAATGCAATCAAAGAAATGGAAGAGCAGACAACGTTAATAAATTGGATATCAAAGCTAAAATGATGGGGAAAAAGAATTCTTATGAAAATTTAGACTAAAAATCCCCCCCCCCAAAATAGTACTTCAAAAAGAGCTTTGAGCTTGAATGCGTAGTTTGTTTACAGCTATAGATGCCAAAATACCTTACAAATCCGACTGAAAATTAGCAATTTACGTGCCAAATGTGGACCAAAAATTTAAGAATAAAAAAAACACATTTTGCCAACATCAAGTATAAATAACCAGAAACGAATAAACGATCATAATTATCCATGCAAAACACATGCAAGGAGCTTTGATACATGTATGCATTTATTTTATACTCCCCTTCTAGGAATATTTCACCCGTGTTTTTTCCGTACAAGGTACTCGATTTAAAACAGACTTCTCATACCTCAAAAGCAGTCTTAGGCCTAGGAACAGCTTCAGTCGTAGCAGCTGTCTTGTCGATCACCATACGGATGAAACACCCGAACTGCCGGAGTAAACCTCAATGCCTCTTCCGACCTTCTCGTCATTTGCAGAAGAATATTTGCACTGTAGTGTGGCTGATCTTGACAAAACTTGCTTGAAATTGTATTGTCGAAACTCACTCGCCGCTACAAGTCCCTCGTACAGTTGCGCAAAAGTTAGCTCTCCCTGGCCGACATCGAGCGCGTACCAGTCAACAACAATGTTTCCGCACGCTTTCACAACCTGAACGCTCACATATTAGCAACCAAGGGTGGTGAGCCCACCATCTTGCTTCTTTGAACTGTGGCGCGCGGACTCTTGTGCGCATGTACACCATCATTTTGCGGCACATGTGCTCTTTACCCATCTTCATCTTCGCGTTACGGGTTTCACGTCAATCTGACGATTTGCAGCACTGTCGTGACTCTTTGGCCCAAGTTACAGGAAGCGGAATTTCTTGTTTTGTTTTCTAGGAACAGGCCAAAATCAATGCGCGCGCGGACGTCATCCATAAAATTTACTTGGTGTGGCCTTATCTGTTGATCCATGCAAAGGCAAGAATGGATTCCAGCCTTCGAAAATTGTTTGAATTTCTCCCTTCAGGTAAAGGGCTACAGAAGGGTCGTACGCCCGGGGGAAGGAGGCGTGGCCGGCAGGCGTCACGGAAACAAGACTCCAGCTCCGAGGACGACGGACCAAACCATTCACCTACACAGGGGGAGGAGCATCCTGCTAAGAGGGGGATGAAAGGTGAACAACTCCTGCAGTTTTACCAAATTTTATACTGATTTTGTCATTCAGGATTTTAAAGGCAGTTCTGGTAGGTTATGAATTGTTTCTTGCTTATTTTTTTGTTTTGTTTAGCATTGTAGAAGTAAACACCAATTTTTGCTCTTCTTTCTCTTTTCCAAACACATTAAGTCAATTACATGGACAAGATGACTGTTGCCATGGTAACTGATGTTGTAGCAGACACCCTGTGGTGTTTGGTTACATGTACATTATGTAGCAAGTGGCAGGATAGACTTGGAGGGGCTGGTAAATGTATAAATAAATGTGTTAAGTAAGAATAAACAGTTTACTGGGCTAGACCATGATATGTGAAGGTAAATATCATACATGTACATTTGCTAAATGCAAATGTTACCTTTCTAGTAGATGTCTGACTTCCCTATTGTGAGAACAGGTTGGTTGTTTTAAGATGCATATTTCTCACATGTGTAGGCAAGAAGAACAGCCAGAAGGCAGAAAAGAAGAACAGAAAGACGGTTTCTTTCTCAAGCGATGAAGACAGCGATATTGAGCTGTTTGATGTGAATGAAGGTTCAACAGCAGCTGATCCAGGTTAGTTACTTGTATGTTGTATAAATTGTCCACAGTTTTTGTTGGATGCTTGGTCAACATCGCATCAGAATTTTGCCTTATGCAGACGGTGTCTCTTCGGACACAACATTGAAAACTGCAGGCAGGAATGTCATCCGTAATTGAAAGAATATGACCTTAAATGAGACGTTCTGCCGAAGTGCTATACATTTTGGGTTTCATGCAGATGCAGTACATTCTGCCGACATGCTATGAAGGCTGCAATAAAGAGGGAGAATGTGAACAAAATTGTTGTGTTTGTGTATTGCACAGATGGTGAGAGTGACCAGGAGAACACAGACCCTCGACCCAACCTCACCCCCATCCGCCGAGCCAAGGGCAGGAAACACAGTAAAAAACACCTCTCAGCCGCAGATAACAGCTTCTCAGAGGCTACACCTGTCAAATAACACTCCAGATCTTACAGGATGTCCAGTTTACACCACTACTGCCTGTCCTATATCCTTGTAGAAGGCCACTTGATGTTACTTGTACATGTGCTACTGTTTAAATGTTTGTAGTTTTGTATTCTTGAGTGTTTGAGTCCTGGACTGAGGTCTGTCTTTGTCAGGAATGTGCCAACTTTTCTATACAAATAGTGGAATCTCTGTGGAAGAGTGTTTTTATGTTGTCACATCATTAAGTAAGCACTGTTACACGATATACTTTGATAACTGGTCAATAGATGGATGATATGTCATGTTTCATAACATGATGATTTTTATATCGGACCTGTTTTATAAAGATATAGAAGTAGGAGGAAATGAGTAAAGTACTCTGTTTTCTTCAATTTGTTCCTTAATCCCTTAAAAGTGGTTATAGTTTTAGATTCTGTTGTATAAAAATTTTAATTTTTTTATGAATTTAACTGCATAATCTCTTCATATGTTGTATCACTTTACACCTTCTTCTTATGATTTTAAAGATGAATAAACATTTCCCTCATACCGCTTTAGATTTTACAAGATAACAGTTGTCATTTTTTTTCAACAAAAAGAACAACTCACCTGCCTTCATTTAGATACTGTTGACAGAAAAGAAGAGACTGAGTTAGGTGAAATATATCTTTATTCATACATTCATAACATCTTTATTTTTTTTCTACCATTCAAAACTTGGGAAGTTTGATTGAATGTCAGTCTTAGCAGTCTTATTGAGCTTTGGGTGTAACTTTAATCTGGGCACTGACTTCTGATGATTTTAGGCAGGAACTGTACTTACACTACACTACACACTGCACTATCACAGTGAGAAATACCTGCATTGGTCCAATTTAAACATGGTTGCAAAACCATTGCATTGTGCATTGAATACCGTGATCTGAGACATTTGATGTGTTTAACTTCTGTACATTGCACGTCTCAACTGCTCCTAGTTCTAAGACTTGCAAACAAGCAAAAAACACTGAAAGTTGTCAGCATAGCCCACAAAAGTGTAACGTAAATTCCCATGTGTCTTGCAAGCGTGTACTAGTGGGTTGGGTCTCCACGGCCCTTGCATTTTTAAGGCTCAAATACCTGCATGATATGTGACTCATCCTTTGTACACATTAGTCATTACTGGTCTTCCTATACTGTGAAAATGACAACGTGATCACAAACTTTAGCTTGCTTTTCTACAAGACAACAATCGCAATAGAGGTTGGAAGTTTGCGATTTCAGACTTGGGTATATACAAAATACCATTACAATCGGCCTTTTTTGTAGTCTTTTGGTGGTTTCGTTGTTACGTTTTGTACAACATCTTTTGGTCCTTGGGCGTTCCATGACGTCACGAGTCCTTCCGGTCAGTATCTTCCGGGATTGGCTCGTGTTTGGGAGCGGAAATGACGTCAGGAAGGGGGGACACGCCCTTTTCCTCGGCGCGCCGTGCCTCCATACTGTGACGTGTGCCGTAGCCCAGGTACACAATCATACCTGTAGGGTGGCATAGATCACATAGATACACATGAGCCGACTTCTGTGGCAAATATGGCATCCCAGAGAAAGGTACAAAAATTACAAAAAGTTACACTCAAGTTGAGACAAAATGACAAGTAGAATGCATATCCAAGAACAATTTTAGATTTACCTCAGGCGCTGTAATGGATATGCTTGGACTATCTAGAACCATGGTTTGGGATAAAGCACGTTTCTGGATACGTGTAGACTCTCTACAGTGTATAACCGTACGGTTCGGGATAAAACACGGTTCTGGATATGCGTAACACCAAGGACTATCTAGAACCTGAGCATAGTTTGGGATAAAGCCACACCACGGTTATGGATATGTGTGGACTATCTAGAACCGTCCCGGAGCATGGTTCGGTCCGGGATAAAGCATGGTCTCAGATCGATAAAATCTTTTAGGCTCACCCCTGATGCGTCGCCAAAAACACCCCCACCCTACGTTTGAGTACATACCTATGGCCAGCCATATGGCGAACCGGATCCACGTGGCGGGCTTGAGCTTCAGCATCAGGTAGATATTGACGAACATGGAGACCGGACAGAGCAGCACGCAGCCAGGCACCTTGGAATGACGAGGATTTTAATGTTAATGAATTTAATATATATTTTATGTTACGCTGTATAAGTACTAGGAGTATTTTACCTGCTGAAATTAAATTTGATCAAATAAGCCGTTGATAATAATAATAGTACCTTGAATGGCAGGCGCATGCGGCTCTGTGGCTGACGCCAGATGAACACGCACAGACTCAAGATGGCGGACACCAGTACACAGATGATCAGCAGAGCCCACCTGTGATAGGTAGAAGTATGATAAAACATGTTGTATACATATACACAGTAATGGTGCACGCTGAAAAAAGCCTTACGTCCAGTACAATCTGTTTATAGACCTGCATCTTTTCGTAAGATTAACTGATAACCCGCAGAAGGCATGCACCATGTACTTGTAGGTACCTAATGCATATCATTGCTTACCGGAAGTCTAAAATCACACACACTGTACAGATTTCTTGTGTAAGTCCGTATGGTATACCCTACCCGGCACGGTGCTAGGCTAGAGGCCAGCCCGCCCTATCCCGGGGCCTCAGCTCCCCCACCCCGCAGTACTTTGTATTACAGTGATGATGATAAAATCAAAAGTACTGCAGGTACTAACAAGCTCTACCCAATATTTGGCTGGTGAAAAAGGGCACTAGAACAAAAAGAAAGCGCGACAAAAACTTCTAAAACACGTCATCTTATCATAAAGCTCTGTTTGGAGAGTATCAGGTACTTACCAAGCTCTATCATACACGTAGTCCTGGGCGAAGATAAGCGTCGCGCTGGTGAGGATCATGAGGATGACGATGATGTGGACGGACCAGGACACCAGCTGCCCCGTGTGCTGAGTCGGCTCCGGCCGGGGGTCCGGCACGGACTCTGTCACGTCCATGGGCTGGTACCCGCCGCCAGAGGGCGCTTCTGAGTCCATCAGAGTTGCCGTACCTGTGGCAATGGTTATCAATACTTCATAAGATGGTCTTGTGGTTAGGGATGTTGAATCAGAATCTGAAAGTTCTGGGTTAAAACACCTTGCAGGCTCCAGTGTTGTGTCCCTAGGAAAGGTACTTAACGCCTAATTCCTCACTCGACTCAGGTGAAATCGAGTACCTATCTTAGGTTGGGGCCGTCCTTTGCTTTGTGTACTGAAAATCCTTTTATATCATCATTTGATTATGAGAAAAATCTTAGCATCATTTCTTTTAGATTTATTCATTCCTCTTGACTGTATTTTCTTTAAAACGTAACAAAATCCTTCCCCTGCAACGTTGAATGGTGAATGTCACAGCATTTGAAATTCCCCACTTGTTGGGAACAAACCTTGTTGTTGTTGCTGCTCCTTGGGATTTTCTTGGTCTCCGTCTGTCTCCATCAGTACGAAGCCTGTAGAGTCCTTGGGTTTGAAGTACTTGGACAGCCCGGCCTTTGGTTTGCCGGCTGTACCGTTACTGGTGGTTGAGAGGAGCCCTGTCTTCTCAGACGATGTCGGGAAGTAGGCGGACTCGTCTTTGGTGAGGCCGACTCTCCCTGGCTGGTACCGCATGATCAGGACAGACCTGAAACGGTCGACGGATGGAGGGAATAGCTCACAACTGAACCTCTTCACCTTCTATAAAAATGCACGAGTCAGGGGTATATTAGGTGGTTAAACCTTGCTGTAGCTATTGTTTACGTTAATGCAGCGGTGGATATGGTATGGAGATGGGAAATTTGACCAATGGTGCAATCGTGGGAGCGAGTTCCTTCATGCAATCATATGAGTAGCAATCTATTGCATGATGTAATTCTATATCGGGTATTTCTCCATGACCATGATACTAGTACCCAAAAAGTCTGAAATCTCAAATTTCTGTACATTTCAAAAGATTGCTGTACTTACGCTGCCACGAGTGTGTAGGCCATGAGCGTTCCGATGGACATGATCTCCACCAGCTGCTGCAGATCCAGCACCAAGGACAGGACCGCGGCCAGGGACCCGGACACCAGCGTTGCCACCACGGGGACGGCCGTGCGGGGGTGTACCCGGGCGAACACCTCGCACAGCAGCCCGTCCCGCGCCATGGTGTAGACGATCCGGGGCAGCGGGAACAGGGAGCCCAGGGTGGAGGCAGTCAGCCCACAGATAGCGCCTGCAACAGAAAATGTTATTCTTGGAGATCTTCCCAAACGGATTTAGATAGGAATATTAAAAGAAAAGGGTAAGATTATGGTACTCAAATTACCTTTCTCAGACCACGGGGCAGTAGGATATAGTTCCACTGTGTCTCGGGTTAGCCCATCCCTTTCGTTTCACCACCTTTTACCTTCCCAACCTACAGAAAGATGTGGGAGAAATCTACATACTTGTGACTCTTCCCGTTCCTACGCTACCAAAATAATAATGCATTTTGTTTCATTCGATGGTGTCATATAGATTTTGAGATGCTATTTTCTTCATCAGTTTTTTGTGACCCGGAACTGAGGTGAAGCACTACTGTGCTTTGTCAAGTATTTAGCCAAGCAAAGAACCCAACACACTTATATATCGAGAAGAGTACAGGGTGACCAGGTATGCTTAGAGCCCACGTACCCACGGAGATGATGTACCCAACCGAGTACAGCCCGTGCTGGTCGAAGGCCCGTGCGAGCGGGGCGGTGGAGGCGATCTGACTGTACGGCTCCATCAGCGTGAGGATGGCGGACACGCCGAAGTACGCCAGGAAACACGTCACCAGGGTCAGCAGGATCGCCGTGGGGATGCTCTTACTGGGGTTCCGCGCCTCCTCGCTAGAGGTCGCTATGATGTCGAAGCCCACGAAGGCGTAGAAACAAGTGGCCGCGCCAGAGAGAACCTAATGGGAGAGGATCAACGTAAAAAAAAACTTTCTGGACCGATCTGTGAAAAATGTATTCACCAGAATTTGCTAATTGTGTGATCAATGACAAAAGCATATTGCATATCATTGCAATTGATAGCCCCCCCCCCCAATCAAAATCGTCACATTGTATGTCAAAGGTATATCATCCTCAAAGTTTGAGGGGTATTGAACAATAGGTGAAGCCATATAGTACATGTTAATCTCAAAGTAGATGAACATGCCATCTTTATAGGCTAGGCTAGGCTTTTTGGACAGTAAGATAGCAAACATTACTCTCGCCCACCACAAAATCTGCTTGGATATGTGAGACATTTTCAAACAGTTGCCACAATTTCCCTGAGGCTTAACATCTATAATATCACAAAAAGACTACAGTTCTACTAAGCTCACAAAACCCACTCAGAATACAAACTGACCCCGGAGAATCCGTACGGCAGGAAGTTGTCCTCTCCCGCCCAGTTCTGCCCGTTGACGTAGAAGCAGCCCACCACCACGATACACAGGATGACCAGCACGTTCACGGCCGTGAAGATGATGTTAGTGATGGACGTCTGCTTCACCCCGCTGGCGATCACACCTGCAACACGGCATGTTTAGATAGGCACGGATTAAAACAATACCATCCTTCTCATTGCGTCAGCACTGTTCAAATATCAGCAACCAATCACGTCTCCGTTTTCGTGCAAAAATCAACTGGTAACTTTGCCTCCAACAGCAGGACATGGAGTATCTGATTTTCTGGCGGCCATAGCTATTTGTGTTTCTTAAAAACTAAGAATCTGTCGTTATTCTGAATGGACAGTGCTTTCTTACTGTACCTTTATAGCCTAGCTTACCTGTCATTAACAGTAGCAGGATGAATGCTATGATGTCCGGGTAGGTTCCCAGGCCAGGTGCCTTGTGTAGGGTCCCAATCTCTCGTTCTACGGTTAGTCTGGAGTAGGATAACACACATCGTGTACTATCAATCATATACCCATAATCATCTGGAGACAATTGTTTCGCAAAAATTAATATCAGATCATTAGCAACATTTTAGGAACCTCATTTGAGGGAGCTTCAGACCCTAGCCCCAAACCTCTGCACGTAAAAGAACCCAGCACACGTATCGAGAAGAGTAGGGATAACCCCAGTTTGCTTGGGTATAAACATTAGCTGTAACAAAGCCGCATTGCACTATAAGCTACTTGAAAAAGCTTTTCCCCAGTTAAGAATGGCTGCTTTATCTTACCTTGTAATCATTCAAACATACTGTTAGAAAATGAATCACAGCTTAATACATAACCCCTTCAAGAACAAAGATGCTGGATCCTTGATCTTTTCTGACCTGATGGAGTCGTTGAAGAAGGAGTCGAAGTACTGTGACCAGGCCTTGGCCACGGAGGCAGCTCCGATCATGTCCTCCAGAACCATGTTCCAGCCGATCACAAAGGCCCAGAACTCCCCCACAGCCATGTACCCGTACACGTACGCTGAACCGGCCTTAGGCACCCGGGCTGCAAACTCAGCATAGCACAGCCCTGTCACAACATAGAAGAACAACAACAATTGTACACGATATAATGCATGAGAACAGCTACTGAACATAGTACAAAAAAGGTATAGAATAAAACTTAACATCCTTAAGTACTAGAAGAAAAGGTCTGGGATATAACACATGGTTGTGTATGTTGCTTTCAGAAACAATTGTATCAAGTCACAATTTCTCAATCCAAGAACAAGGCAATCATGATAAGAGATAACAGACTTTAAACCTTCAAAGGTATGCCGCCTCAGGCAGAATATACATAAATGCAGTGTAGAAACACACATAGATACACACACATACGCACGTACCCCCCCCCCCACACACACGGGGGGGGGTGTTGAAAGATAGAAGAAGAAGAAAGAGGGAAAGGTCATATCAACCTGTCCGATATTTTTAGGTTATATATCTGCTACCAGGAACAATAATTTTTCATGTTACTAAAGACCTCAAAATTGTACAATCTCATTCCGCGCCATGCCGGCACATAACTCATGAACTTCCGACTAACAAGATTCTTGTTAACTCTCATCAACGTCTGGTCATAACGCAGCATCTCGCCACATTTCAAGGACCATTTGTTCTTTCATCTTTTCTAAAAGTCCAGCTGCGGCACCAGCGATGATTTCAATGGATAAAACTAGTAACGAATCACCTACAGGCGCGTGTGGCAATCTTCCATGCATACAACTCTAGACAGTACGTGTTGAGATTGAGATATCAACTGTGAACGATCCTGTACGATAACAGACGTGGTACATGACCCGTACCCCAACCCCTGACTATCACTGTGTTAATAGGCTGATGCTAGACTAGATGGGATCCTACCAAGTACGAATCGTTATCTGGTAATATTGTTATCATACTGGGTGCATTTGCTACGCAGCATAGCTTGATTTAAAGCTCATATAATATTCAGATTTAATGGACTAGATAATTTTGTAGACTATATCTTTATGGTATATATCAACGAGATACACGCAATACAATTTTCCCGATTTTCTGATCGTGATGATTTTATATACATGATTAGGCTATGCAAAACATGCGAAGTTAGCACAATTGATGCGGAGACCATAGCTAGAGAATACACATGCACGAACACCAGTGTTTATGGTACGACTATCCTGGCATTTCCTTGTAATATCTCCATACGTCTTGTATTCAGATATTTATGGGTGGCGTTCGGGATCACGAATTCTAATCTCGTTTCTGTCAGACGGCCTACATTTTAGTGGTTCTACACGAAATTAGATGACCCGGAGTGGATAATTCTTTGTGATGCTATTAACGCCTGGATATAAAACTGGTGTATCAAAACCGCGGCTTCTGCCGAAGTGGCTGAACATTTTTCCTATGTCTTTAATAAGGTTCACAAAAGGCTGTAGATTCTTTCCCTCGGAGGTATTTGCTGTACAAGAAGATAAAATGGACAGCCAACTGACGAGCCAATCTCCCGGCCGCTGATATTTATCGGTCCGTCGGAATGGCTCC